TCCATCTGCATTCGCTTGATCGGCAGCGGCAACGTGTAGTTTTCGTCCGCTTCGCCATCAGCATCCGGATCCACGTCAATTGCAGCAATGACGCGTTCTTCATCCGGCCTCGGTTGTTCAGCAATCAGCCTTGACAGTGCGTCGGCTTGCCCAAAATCCGCGGTCCGGATGTATTCCATGTGGAAATCATAGTTGAGAAGAGTTACGGCCCATCTTTGTAGACGATTTGCCGAATACGCCGGAATTCCCGTCTTCGATCCGAAAATAGCGAGAAGCGGCTTGTGGTCGGTGCGCAAGGTGAACGTCCTTCCATGCAGGTACCGGTGAAACTTCTTCACGGCGTAGACGATCGCCAGGGCCTCCTTCTCGATTTGACTGTATCGGCGCTCGGTGTCCGTCAGGGTCCTTGACACATGTTGCACGGCCTTCTCTTTCCCATCGATCTTGTGGGTGAGGACGGCACCGATGCCGTAGTCCGAGGCGTCAGCGGCAACAATCAGCGGTAGCTTCTCATCATAGTGCGTCAGCAGGAGGTTTCCAGAAAGAATGTCCTTGATCTTTTGGACAGCTTGGTCACATTCTTTTGACCATCGGAACTCTTTCTTTTGTTCCACCGAGGACTTTTCTTTTCTCTCGGCCACGACCTTTTCTTTTCTCGTGGTTTCGACTCTTTCTTTTGTCGAAGTGACTTTTTCTTTTGTCACAGTGACTTTTTCTTTTGTCACCTCATCGAGAACATGGCGAAATGAGGACAGATCACGAACAAAATGACCATAAAATTGAATCATTCCAAGAAATGAGCGTAATTGGCTTATATTTTGCGGCGTGGGCATGTGCTTGATGGCGGCAATCTTCTCCGGGTCGGGTCGACGTCCTTCAGGGTCGATCAGGAAACCGAGGAATTTGATTTGCCTTTGCGCAAATCGGCACTTCTCCATTTTCACTCGCAATCCAAACGCTTGCAGTCGTCGAAAAACTGCTCTCACTCGTTCATCATGTTCCTCCTTCGTCTTGCCCATAACGATCACATCGTCCAGGTACGCAGCTGTCCCCTCGAGACCATTGATGACTTGGTCCATGATGCCTTGAAAAATGGCGGGCGCTGTCTTGACTCCAAAAGGCAGACGTTGGTACTGGAAAAGTCCACGATGCGTGTTGATCGTCACGTACTCCTTGGAATCCTCATCAACGGGCACTTGTAGATAAGCCTCGGCGAGATCCATTTGCGTGAAGTACTTTCCTCCGTTGAGCTGGGCGAAGATTTCCTCAGCTGTAGGAAGCGGATGACAATTTGACTCGAGCGCGTTGTTCAGTCCGGTCGAGAAATCAGCACACATCCGAATTGATCCAGAATTTTTCTTGACGACAACGATCGGGGCGGCCCATTGAGAAAATTCAACAGGTTTTAGCACTCCAGTGCCCACCAAACGATCGATCTCCGCTGCAACAGCGGGCATTGCGCCAAAAGGCACCGGTCGGGCCTTGCAGAACTTGGGCACAGCGTCGGGCTTCAATTGTAGTCGAGCCTCCAACTTCTTACAGCTACCGAGTCCATCTTGCGCGACATCGGCAAATTCCAGCTTGAGTTGTGCTGCGAAATCACCCTCCTTCTCGGCGTCGATTGCCAACACCTCCATGGTATCGGGCTTTAGCATTTGACGAAATGCATCCATCGCATTCGTGTTCTTGAGCCAATTGAGACCCAACAGCGTGTAGCCGTCGACGACGTGGCACACACCGAACATCGCCTTCTTGTCGATCACATACTTGCAGTTGAAGTTGCCATGGACCTTGATAGCTTCACCATTCGCTGCCTTCATCTTCAGATCCGTGGACTTGAGCGCGGGCGATCCGAGCCGCATCCAATCCTTCTTGCTGATGATCGTGATGTCGGCGCCCGTATCAACTCGCATCTTCAGCACCTTGTCGTTGATCGCAACATCTAGAAATAAACGATCAGATTCGTGATTCAAAGAAAGGTTAGAACCAACGATTACGACATTTGTGTGCGCGGGCCTTGCGAACTTTTTCTTGGGGAAGTTCGGCTGTCCTTGCGGCTTCTTGTTGCGTCCCGGGCAATCGGCATCCCAGTGGGCTCCTTGACAGTGCTTGCAGGGCCTCGTTGGTGCGCGGGTGCCGGGCTTCTTTCGGGCAGGAAAAGGGCGGGGTGCATAGGGCGGCTTTGCGGTGACGGCGTGCGCGGCCAATGCGCCCTTGCTATCCAAATTCGCGTCCTTCTTCCTCGTCACGAAATGGCGAATGTGGTCGAAAACTTCATCCAGTGTCGACTCGGGCTTTTCCTCCATCCTTCGAAGTATTTGGCTTCGCGTGGCTTCGTGTTCGCTGCCAGAAAGCGAAAGAAGTAGTGAAAGGACTTTCACTTCATTCTCCTTGATGTCGCGCATCTTGGCTTTTTCGTAGGCGAACTTGAGCTGATCGACGTGCTTGGCCAAATCCTCGACATCGCCACCATCAAACTTCATTTTGGAAAATTCGTAACGGCGGGCGATGAGTGACTTCGATGGAACGAAGATCTTGAGCAAAAATGCCACAATTTCAGCGTATTTCAGCTCATTTGTGGTCTTGGGCAGGATAAACTTTGTGAACCTGTCGTACGCCGCCTCGTCCAGCTTCTCGATCAACATCCGAGAACGATCCTCTTCAGAGAGTTCGGCGCCATCCTTCTCGAGCATCGGACCATAGCGTTCATGCCACAGTTCGAACGTCGACTTGTCCTCGTCAAACGAAAACTTCGGCACTCGGGCCAAAATCGAGTCACGCAGCGCTTGTAGACGCGCCTTGTTCGCGTTCTCTTCCTCCTTGGGCTCGTGCTTGACTGGGACGGTGACTTGGCTCATCAGCGCGGCCATTTGCTCCGTGATCAGCTTGATCTGGAGGTCGTGCGCGGTCTTATCCATTTCCCTCTGCTCACGTTGGCTTTCCATCAGTTGCTGTAGCACATTTTGAAGGGCTTGCTCCATGATTTTCTCGTCGGCTTCAACTTGTTTCGATTTCGCACGGGTAGTCGGGGCCAGCTTGGTGAAATCCCTTCCTTGCGTGAATGTCGAACTTCCTGCTCGCCAGTTGTTGTGTCCGCGAGTGTGCTTGCCTCTTGTGCTTGATGGATAACGTGTATCGAATAAACGTTAGAAGTTTATTCGATAGCAGCTTCAGGATAAAAAGGAATTAGAGCGATAATTTAGGGAGAAAATCCCATGAGTGGGGAGACATTACGACACGTAATCCGGAGTGATTTGAACTGGGGTGGATTACGGTCACTGGGTCACAGGATAGGCAGTGGGGGAAAAGAGACTAGCTTTTTCTCTCCACAACAACTCTAATCCATTTTTCTTCAAATTCAGTAGAAACCTACCCGAAATTCGTCTGCTGGGAGGTAACACAATTTGTCGGGTCCAAATTCTGGGAGCCTTGAATTGTTTGGATTTTAGATTTAAATTTTATACGGATTACCTATAGTACTGCACTTTTCTCTCAAACGTATTTATGTCTAGTTTTGTCAGCCATAACTCCAAAACGCCGCCTTGTAGATGCTGCACAGCCAGGGTGAGAGCAAGATGACGTCGAGTGAAATCACTGGTATCTAACAAGGGAAGGTTGTTTGGGTCAGGTGTCAAATCTTTCTGAAAATTGGCCAGTGGATAGGAAATTGAAAACGGAACAAGGTGCGCTAAGTCGTTTTCTGCACAATACCCCTAATTAAAAAGTTATAAGCATTTTAAGTTTGTGGTCTAAAAAATGAGTTGTGCGCAGGCTTTTGCACCAATACCGCACCTTTTCCACATTCTCTTCAGGCGTGATTTCTTGACCTTCTCTCGTCTCCGCTCCCCACGTCTCTTCTAGCGCAATCGGTAGTGCGCTTGACTCACAATCTTTTGAAAAATTTTTGGCAAAAGTTCGAGACTAAAACTTTTCTATCTTTTTGCTTATTGCTTTTTGCTCTTGCAAATTAGGATTAGTTGGCGTAAAATCCAAAAAGCAAAAAGTTGGACGCATCCAAGACTTGAACTCGATTACAAAAATTTAAAAAGTTTTGCACTCTACGGCACTACCTACTGCGCCAAACAGCTTGCCAGTCCGGGCGACGCAAGAGCTTGAAAAGGGGGCAGGCCACAATGAGGACCAGATCAGAATTGTCGGGTCATTTCGTGCTTTTTTTATGTAACTTCAGAGGCCTATAACTTTTTAATTTGGGGTATTGTGCAAAAAATGAGATTAAGAAACTCCACTTTATTTTTGATTTTCTATCCACTGGCAAAGTTTCAAGTCGATTTGACACCTGACCCAAACAACCTTCCCTTGTAAAGGTATTTGTGGTAAGACTTTACTTTAGCCCCTCCACAGCCGAAGGTCTCAAAGTTTTCGGTATCTTCGCTTATTTTGTCGGGATTTTTGCAACACCATTCGATAGAGCGTCGAAAAATATACTATGAGTTCTAATTTGAGCCTACAATAATGTAAAATAAAAAAGTTATACCCAAAACATTCCGGCTGGGAGGGGGAGGAAGTAAAGTGTAACCGTCTTTGTTGAAAAGGAGATAAAGAGAGAGAGAGAGAGAGAGAGAGAGAGAGAGAGGGAGTCAGAGAGGAGAAACGTTGCTAGCTTGCCAGAATAAAGCCTCCGCTGTTCCACCGCCATCTTCGAGTCCCCCGGATACCCATCGCTCATCTCAGAAAAGCAAAAAGGTGGCGCAAGCTTCATGGTCGACACTTGATCATCAAAAAATTTGACAGCATTTAGACGATGTGTAGATGAGCTGATACAACCCGGTTTGGCCACGATTATAGCTTTTGTGGTGCGCCATAACATGTCCATCGTGATATTGGCCCTCCTAAAAATTACCAGTTTCCTCAAAAAAGTATCGTTGATACCATTGTAAGGTATGAATTAGTTTAGCTTGTGTCACTGGGAATTCACCCGAATATACATCAACACTGCATAGTCCGGTATCTGGCAAGTCCTAAAGTTTTGATAATTTTTACAGAAGTTGACGCACATAACTAAATGCTTGCGTATAGATCCAGCGCCCTGTTGGTGCAAGGAGTACACTAATGGAAAAGTTTTGGCCGGTATCATCGATTCCGGTTTGAAAACCGAGGTAATTGTCGGGGAAGTTGAAGTCAAAGAGGCCGAAAGGACGAATGTTAAAGTCTAAAAATATGGCGTGATATTTCCAAAACCCTTTTTTTTTTGTTTTGTGGTAAGTAGCCTACAGTTTTTACTTCATTTGCCCTACTTTACCAAAGAAGTGGCTTACGATAGGCTTCGGCTTACGCTTTGGCTTAGGCTTAGGCTTTGGTTTAGGTTTAGGCTAAGGCTTAGGCTTAGGCTTTGGCTTAGGCTTAGGCTTTGCAGTAATTACGCAACCTTGCTCACCTTGATGACTCGATAGCAACATCACTACCGCAAAACTCGACTCTGTTTTTGCCGGGTGCACACCCCATTCCCCGCCTTCAACAATATCCTTGCAAATGTAGAGTGTATAATTTCTTGGGCCGGTTGCACTAAGACACCCTATTTACTTAAATTAAACACACATACCCTCCGCGTGTCACGAGTTCATAGGTGTCGGGCGTAGTTTTGTCAAGCGTCAATGGGAAACCGTCGTCACCTCCCATGGTGTGGTGGATGCCAACCGATATTTGTACCGTGCACCCGGGACAATCATCAATTTTTAGGGCGACGGACTAAAAGGATGGTATTTTTCGTTTTCTGTAGGTCTTGCTGTATAGTCTAGTAATTATTATGTAGTTTTGTAGTACGTATTACATATAATACATACCGTTCGTTTGAACTCGTCGCCGTGGATCGAAAAACTTGGGGATGCTGGTGAAAGTCTGACAGTCTCACATATGACTTGGCCTGGAAAAAGTCATTGTATTGTCAAAGAGTTGATTCCTTTCATTGTTTCATTTTTTTTATTAAATTGATTAACAACAATTTGTCAAGAATGCGCAAAATTCATTTTTTTTCCGAGATTTGAGAGGTATCTCCACTCGATTTAGCGACTGTTTTTTACTTCAGTCTGTTCTAAAGTACGTTTGGGTGTATTATAGGAAAGCAACGAAATAGAAATCGTGAAAATTTAGGCCAGACCAACCCATAATAGAGTAGGGGACCAAAATCAGGTAGCCCCAGTAGTACCCCAGCAAAAACACCGAACCAAAAGCACCAAAAGACACAAATAAAAGAAACGGCCCGAAACCAAAAAGAAGCCAAAGGTTTTAAAGGGGCCAAGCGACACAAAAAGCAAAAACAATAGGAGAGCCCCCCACACGAAAGGCATACCCACCAAAAAATTTTTCTCTTTCCCTTACAAGAAAGAAAAGTCTCCGTGATATGTATAATACAGTTATGTACATTTAATGGCTAGTTTGGAGTTATTTACCCTTTTCGTTAATCGGATTTAATGAACCCATTAAGACTTACCTAGATAGAGGATCAAAGATGTAAACACAACGTTAGGCGTCATCCACGGCGTTGATAAGTTCGGAACAGCACATGTCTTTGGGAAAGTGCGTTTCACACCGCTCAGAAAGCGGCTTACACCATGTTCCTGCCAGGGGTTCCGCAATCCGGGCTTATCGAGCTGCTACGATACTTTCAGGCTTTCATGCTCGCCTCAAGAGCGGCGGATTAGAAGGGGCAAAGTGTTGAAAAATCTTTGAAAAGGGACCAAGAAAGAAATCGGAAACGGCATTGACGTTGGTGAAGTAAAGAAAGTAAAGGCTTATACATAGGTTGTACTTCTTGCTTTGGAAAACGGTAAGGTATTTATTGCACAGTGGGTGTGGTGGTTCATCGAATATGGGATTTGAGAACTCGTTCTTGGAGCATTCGGCGTTTTGTGGTCCCATATTGGTCGCAATTGTTGCTGCGCGCAACCTGTAAGGTTCTCAAAATCTTTCCTTTCAATTTCCGCTTAAATTTCAACATCTTGGTAAGAGTGCAGTTAGCCTCTCCCCATTCCGCTACCCCCGCCACGTATATCGGCTCCCCGTGTGCATACAGGCGTGTAAAGGGTACCAAGATGTTCGTCTCGATCTGGGGAGTATTTTAGTATACTATGCGGCCCTGTAGCCCTACAGGTTACACAGTTACAATAAGTGGTGATTGGCTGGCGCATGCATCACGCCCGGTTTTTAAAATTGCCTTGAAAAACCGCAGGTAAATTTTGCATTTGCTCATCCTCAGGAGAAACTCACGCTCAATTGTCCCATCCTGCTATCATCCGAGCACTGGAATACCCTCCGGAATTCCGGCATCAACGTCATCTCGGCCATCGTTCGTAGGTATTTCGCGGAGTGCTCGCTGCCCTCTCGGTAGTGAAGATTTGGGTCGGTGGCGCAACTAAATACATTTTCCTTTTTAATTTCTTTCTATTGACGCCAATGTGCAAAACCCACTTGACAGCCGCAGTCGCATAGAAAAACATTTTCTCATTCGTAACTTCTGGATAATCTTTGTAGGCGGGTTCCTGAGTTCGATAAATTGTCCTGAAACGTTGTCTGCGTTACCTGCATCTTTTCCGGCCCTAAAGTCCTTTTCATGGCTTGGTAGGCGGCTTGAATTCCTTCTTGATCTGCTACGTCTTCACTACCGAGGAAAAAAATCGCAGATTCAGTTTTGGACGTACGTATAAGTTTTTCCGGCGGCTTCCATGCATGAACACACCCGAGTTGATGATGACCCGGCTTCAATGCATGGTGTCTAATCAAAAATGTTCTATTTTGCTTAGATATTTTCGATGCTAAGCCAGAGTTAAACTTCAGCTAGGCCAACGTAAGCCTAAGTTAAACCCAAACAAATAAGACTAAGCTAAGACTAAGCTAAGCCTAGGTTCAGCAAACTTCTGTCGACCGTACAGAATGGTTCCAAAAATCGTGGTTGAACATCCGGCAAACTCGCATCACATGGTCCTCCAAACACTCCCTCGATTCGCGCAACTTTTGGTCGCGCGTGAACGCGTTGTGGGCTTGTCCTTTGTCCCCTAAAAACCATCAGCGAAATCAGGAATTTTTGGTGAATACAAAATAGGCTGTGCTGCAGCTCGTGCGCCACGATAACACCCATCGAACCGTACTGCAAAGTTTTTAGGTCGTTTTAATCCTTAAAAAGGCTAAAAACTAACCCAAGCACTTTCAGACGTTGTCCTCGCCATTAGGCACACCGATTCGGGGATCATCACGTATTCGCCTTCAAAGTTTACAGCGCCAAATTCGATTCCCTATGAATAAAAATTCTTATTTATGCTTTTCTAGAAAATTGTGTTTAGTTAGTTAAGAACTTTAAGAACACAACTATCACCGGCGCTGGGCTGTTAGCGGGGGGAATCAATTTTTTTTCCCGACGACGCCGAAACGAAATATAGGCTATTTTTATAGCATTTTATGCCGTTTTTATATATTCACCTTTTAGATAGTCCGATATTTAAATAAAAGCCTCAAAAACGACAGAATTTAGAAGTTTTTACTTCTTGGGCATTAATTTACGAAAAATTACTAATAAAGTCATAATTTCAAAATTTCAAGGGTTTCTAGATGGTTTTAATATCTTTCTAACCATCAAAAACGACTATACACACTATAAAAATCCATTATATATATTATTATCAAATAAAGACGGCCATAAAAACCAAAAAAAAAATCATTTTCCCGCCGCCAAAAAATACCTCCCCACTCTAAAAGTCCTATTGACCCTATAAAGACCCTATTTTCCACCTTTAGCATCCGATTCGCATTCGGAATCGCGAAACCCTCGACCTTGTTGATCAAAATCACCAGGTTCACCACAGCCCGCAGACTGAAAAAAACCGGCTTACGGAACGAGACACCAGAAACTACCTAGATAGAGAAGACCCCTGTGTGGGTTGCGCCTCGTATAGTTTATTCAAAACCCAATAAAAATCGGTGTGATTGAATCGCCGGCTAAAAAACTCCGGGGTTGTTACCGTCAAATTTTTCCTACCTCACAAAATTCGACATTCCGATCTCGATGATTGTATTTGCGGCTTGACCCTCGAAAAATTGCTTCGTTGCCAAGTCCATCTGGTCGTACGTGGAATTCTAGAAGAAATGCGATATTTTCTACTCCCTTATCGAAAACTGACCGAAATTTCGTCCTTGATCACCGCGACTATTTGCCCGATTTTCTCGCGCACTTGGTAATAATAGGATTGTGGTAGGAGCTATAAAAGGGATAAGGAAAGATTTTCAAATGTTAATGTCCATTTCGCCGAAAACTACTTTGCAGAAACCCATTTCGCGGCTTAGGCTTAGGTTCGTTTGCTCATTTGATAAAAACTTTTTCAACTTTCTCGAACGACGGTATAATTTTATCAGATAAGCCTGATTATAAAAAAAGTTACAGGAAGATGAGCGGAATTCATTTGGGAAAATCTCCACGCAAAAAAAATTGCTTGTAAAACTGAATTTTTGGCAAAAACCGTCTTCGGTGAAATCGTTTTTAGGGGAGATGTTTTTCAAAATGGTTTCAGGCGATTCCTTTGGCGAGATTGCCAAAATTCGTTTTCACATTGTTCTGATCAATGTAATCGAGGACATCATCGCGGATGCGGAGTGCTTGCAGGAACTTTTGGGCTCGATTGGCTTCTTGAATGTCTGGAGGCGATAGCCAGTGTCTCTTCGCCAATGGGATGGCCAACTGAATCGTACTACGTACTTACGTTTAAAACAAAAAAATTCTACAACGATATTTGTGTTCTAGTCGTTTTGTACGTCATTCTGTTAATCTCGCCTCATATTCTAGCGTACCTCAAGCGCCGACATCTTCCTCTCATCTTTTATCCAATAGTTCAGCAAATCCTGATCGAAAAACTTGCGCACAACTGTCTCCTCGTCGCGTAGTGTTTCTGGACATACCTAATTCAAACTTTTACATTATAAATCGAAGCTACGTGTCGATAGAAATTATGACACGGATCCATTGACCAGTCCACAAACTGCAGGTGCTCATAAAAAAGGTCCGCCGCGGACACTAGCGGTAAAAATAGGCACCCGAAAGCCCAGTTGACCATTTTTAGGTGAAAATCCAGTTTTCCATCGGATTTACAAAACCATAATCGATGTTCCCATCTTTTTACGCGCCCTAAAAAGTTTTTGACCAGATATTGGAAGCCAAAAAATCATGGGGGAAGATTTATCGACACAATATTCACAAACGCGTATCAAACATGGGTAAAAATCAATGTATTCAACAAAATAGGGCAAAATGGGGGTTTTTCCACCCCGGCCCTCTTTTTTCCATTGTTTTTTTTTTTTTTTTTTTTTTTTTTTGGTTTGGAGGGGGGTAAAAGAGAATTTTTTTTCGGCTTTTTTTTTTGGTTGGTGGGGCGTTTTTTGGGTTTTTTTTTTTTTTTTAAGGGGGGGGGGGGGGGGTTTTTTTTTTAAAGATTTAAATTTTTTTTTTTAAAATTTTTTTTTTTTTTTTTTTTTTTTTGGGTTTTTTTTTCTTTTAAATTTTTCTTTTTTTTTTTTTTTGTGGGGGTGTGGGGGGGGGGGGGGGGGGGGGGGGGAGGAAGTTTTTTTTTATATATAGTAGGATAGGAAAATGGACATGTGATAAACGAGATCACGAGAAATAAGTTGTAAAAATACATACAGGTGTTAGCAATCGAAAAATGTGGCAGCATGGAGTAGGGGCAGGGCGATGTTCGGGTCGACTTCGAAGGTGGGCACGGATTCCTTTCCGGTGTAGATGAACTGAAGATAAAAAGTTATAATCGTAAACCTTCTAAGAACGAAAGCAGTTAGAAAAAAAACAAGAAATACCCTTAGAGGAAGTTAGCGCTCAAAAACATAATTTTAACGTAAAAAATAGACAAAACGGAGAGCTAGATAGCTATTTTCAACGTAGCCTGAGATAAATGAACTTATTTAAAGTTGTCGTCTCTAATAAACACTACTTTCTACATTCAATAAAGCATAAACTATTAATGATACGACATCATCATTCTACTTTACGAACACTAAATAAAACAAAAATCTTACTTTGTATCCCATGTAGTTGCATATCCATCGCATCACGTTCGAGCAGATAAACCGGAACTCGTAGGCCGTCTTGTCGTCGTCGCCGGGTGTTGGGCCGTTGACTATGCTCTAAAAATGACAGTTTCTCAAAGCACGCAATTCACAAACCGTGACTGACGACGATTGCGCGGCAAACGGCACCGGGATCCAAAAGTCGTGGTCATCTCCGGTGCGCAGACAGATGTAGTTGCCGGTTTCTTCTGAAAAAGAGGAAATTGTAAAGGCGGAGCTATAAAAGGTCGAAACGAACACAAATTACTTGCAAAACCTCGATAGTAAACTCGACAAAGTAAAAAAGCTTACCATCTCCATTCGGTTCAACAATCGGCCACTCGAGACGTTCGGTCTCGAATTTTGTCGACCTGCCGCTTTCCATTTTTGCGGGTTAGTAAAGTAGGGAGGATCGGACGAGCGGATAATTGTCGTTTTGGGGGGCGATCCCACGATTCGTAAGGTGACATCTGCACGATCTACAAGGTCGACAAACTACACTCGCGTCTGCGCATTAATGTCAAAGTGGTGAGATAAGATCCGAAAAGTTGCGATTTTCTTTTTTCTGATTTTGAAGTCAAGTGAAGTCAATACTTTCAACTGTAAAAGCCTTTAGAAGTATTTGTTTGCTGAATTTATTTCCCCAGACCTTTGATCGCTTGATTTTTTGACGTTTTTCTCAGGTTTGAAGCCGCTATATGTCCTTGAGCATGATTTTATGCTTTTCGTTTCGACCTCTACGCTTTCTTATTCATTTTTTAAGCCACTTCCAGGGGAAATGAGCCCACAAAAACAACTCTTTAAAAAATGAAGCTTTTACGTCCCGATCCACTCTACTAATGTGTTTACCCGGGCCCCCGAATTTCGCTTCCAGCTACCTGGAATCCCGGCCAACCCGCTTTCAGCCGCATTGTTTTCGAAAAGAGCGCCCAAAAGGGCACTTTCCCCCTGGGAACAGCGATAAATAACAACCTCCCCTTTCGGGAGTCTGCAAAAAACGGCCGACGAATGGAGCTACGCACGGAAGCGCAGCGAGGAAAAACACTCTTTGGATTGTGGCTGAATTCATCCTAGTTTGGTTCCGCTTTCAAAACCGGTGTATTTCCTCTAACAGAAGAAAAATAAGCTCCCCATTGTTTTATCGTTTTAAAATGCAATGAATCGGTCCGTTGATACTTTGTGTCGGCAATATGGCCGTTTTCGAGAATTTAAAGTTGTCAGAATCGATAGAATTCGCCTAGAATCCCGATTTTTTTAGTGTTTAGTGTCTTGAAAACGTGAGTATTCGTTTTGGGAATGCCCCATGTCAACATTATTGGCCGTTTTCAGCAATTTAATATTGTCGAACCCGATCCGACTGGCCAAAATCAGCCTGACCTTATTTTATATTTCTCCTTACCTGATTTTCCGCTCAAATAAAAGCAAACCCATCAACCCAGGGGTCACGTGGTGAGGCTGGCGTTAGCGCCCGCAATCCGCTCAACGTCCAGCAGCAACCGCGTCGATTTGGTGTTTATTTTTCCCATTTTTTTGACCGGGCGGCTTTTGGAAGAAACGCGCAAATCACCCCTTCGGCGCCCCCGCGCGAGTGGACAGCAAATAGAAATCGAGTGATTTGTTATTTAGGGGGCTGGGAGTTGTGGGGAAACTTCTAATCGGAATTTATTTCCCGGCTGCCCGTCATTGAGCGACCAGCTTCTGGTCTAGGGGTCAAAAATTGGTCCTGGGGCCTCTAGAAAATATGGAATTTTGTGGGAAATGCAGCAATTTCAGAAAGCATTAAATAGTTAGTTGTTTTGGCTTTCTAAATCGTATTTTTGCATATTTGTAAATTAAGTGCGTCAGAAAGCTGTATAAAATCGATTCCATCAATGAGTTGTTATTAGGTTTTCTGCAGTTTTAAGGCTTTATCAATTTTTAGAAGTTCATGGATTTCAGGTTTTTGAAGGATAACTTTGTTAAATCTATTGATTTCGAGTCAAAGTGGGAGCTGATTTGGTAGAAAATACGCTAATTTGTTAAACTTAGTAATATTTTATAGGATTTCCTTTTTAAGTGGTGTTCTCGTTTTTTGACTTCTCTCAATTGATAAGATACCAGATTTCCCCTCCCACCCGACGCCCAAAACATCGGCGCGACAATAATTTGGTAATTTTTCTATGTTTCTTGGGATTTTTGAGCGCGTCAAATGCCTTTTTCTCAAGTTAGAAATCATCTATCTTTTCTCTTATAACAATTTCTTGGTCATTTTCGCAAAAAAAAACAATGTTTTCGGCCATTTTACTGTTGTTGATCCCAACTAGATTTCCTCATTTATTTTCCCCACCCTCGCCGCTTGACCTTCCAGGCATAATTTCGGTGTTTTCGCTTGGGATTATGTGGCGGACATCTGGCAGGGTTGGGAATGACCGAGGGGACACGAGCCCAGAACAACTGTCCTAATTGATGACGCATTTTGGGGGGCGGCGAACCGCGGAAGCACACCCCCGGCTCATGTTCATTCCATGACCTTTGCAACGTTGGATCACCGAATTTCTAAGATTTTTTGCTTTTTAAGGCTTACAAAAACTTTTAAAAACTATGTTTAAAATCTCGATAACGCTACGGCAACTTTTAGGAGATAAAACCTTTGAAAATTCTCGCAAGAATAAAGTCTATGATTTAAACATTGACGCTTACGCGCACATTGATGCATACGCTACCACGTGAAGTATGGCTTTAAAAATCCTCCGAGTCTATTTATTTTTTGTTTTGCATCATTAATTATTAATTTGCTATTATTAGTTTTTTAAAGACCGAGAAGCGCGGTTCTAAAAAGCAACAATTTAAACATTTTTTTAAGGAGTGAAAGTAGTAGTGCGATTCAGATATTTTTAAGGCATATGAAAGGTGTTGAACTGTAAAAATCTATTTAGTCATTTCTTAAGACGAAGAAGGAAGAGGCAAAAAACTATAAAAATTTCATTTTGAATGCTTTTAACATTTTTGACCTCTACAGCAACCCCTACTCAACATCAAAAATTTTTCGAGCTGTTCGCTGCTTACGTAGCAAGTGTCCCCCAACCCGCTCACTAATCACCGCCTTTGATTTAAAGTCCCCTGAACCCTCTAGGGATCAACAAATTAATTTTCCTCTATCCATCCCAGATACCGGTCGTTTTCGCTACAAATTAGAAATTCTGGCGGGGTTGCCCGGCAACCCTGCCGCCGCTTCACTTCAAAATTTCACGAAACTCGATTCAAACTCGGAAGATGCGAATTTTTCAGAAGATGACCGGCGTCTCGTCGTACACGTTTGCCCCCAAATTTCAACATGTCACTGGTGGATCGCACGTTTTGAATAGCGGATTTGATATCCCGTTGATTGGACTAGGTTGGTTTTTTCGGTTTAAAGGGATTGGTAAATATCAAAAGGGTATAGAAACTAACTTAGGTACATAAAAATCCGGCGAAAAATCATGAGAATTACTTAAAATTAACGAATTCGGAGGCAAACCAATAGATATTCTTTAGGAATGGGAATTGAAGTACTGTAGCGTATGGATACTCTAAATAACGTTTTTCAGGCTGCTCCCGCATAAAAACTGCTGAAAGTATGGAGGAGTCAATTCGCGCCGCTCTCGAGGCCGGATACCGACTTTTCGATACCGCCCATATTTATGAGAATGAGAAGGAGATCGGCGACGCGTTAAAGGTGATCATTCATTAGCAAAATTTGGAAAACCAGCAAGAAAAAAAAACGCAAGAAAAAAATACGGTCAACACATACTTTGGAAGATGGAAAACGTCTTTTTTTCTGGCATATTTCGGACCGTTACAAGTTTTCTATCATTTCAGAACTCTTTGAAGACCTTCGGCTGCGATCGTGAAGACATTTTTATCACTACAAAAGTCCCGATCATCAACGATGACCCAGCTGGACATGCCGAGCGGTGCATCAAGGAGTCGTTGGCAAAGTTGAAAACCGAGTAAGTTATACCAACTTTTGTTGGTATGCAATTTTTTTAGTTACCTCGACCTCGTGCTCCTTCATTACCCCCGGGATCGGCATACCGGAAAGGACGAAGATTACGAGGTGAACAAGAAGGGTCGTCAGTTGGTCTACCAGAAAATGGAGGAGCTGCTTGGTAATTTCTAAAAATTTGATGAGACTTACATGAAAGGCCAAAAGGTTACGACGATTTTTAGAGAAAGGCACCATTCGATCGATCGGGGTGTCAAACTACGAAGTCTATCATTTGGAGGAACTTTTCGAGTATTCAAAGGTCAGAAAATCAATTATTTACGGAATTAGTCAACGCTTTAGATCGTAAATGTAAGCATTAACAGGTTAAAAACAGTCATATGCTTTTTAGGTAATCCCCGCCGTCAACCAGGTCGAGTACCACCCCTACTACACCCGTCCTACCCTCAAGCACTATTGCGAGAAGAAGGGCATCTTCATCCAGGTCAGCTTGACACGCTTATGTTTGCATGCCACCTACTAATTGCATGCCACCGCGACAACCAGTTACACATGCCTAACTCTTTCAGTTTCCAGGCGTTCTCCTCGCTATGCTGGGGCAACCTGGAGGTGCTGAACGAGGACGCCGTTAAGAAAGCCGCGCAAAAGCATAATGTATCCCCTCAGGTGGGTAAAGAGAGCGAGAGAGAGAGCGAGAGAGAGAGAGAGAGAGAGAGAGAGAGAGAGAGAGAGAGAGAGAGTGAGCGAGCGAGAGAGAGTGAGAAAGAGCGAGTCATAGAGAAATGAGTAAAAAGGAGAGAGAATAGAAATAAAGAAAAAAAGAGAGAAAAAGAGAGAGAGTAGAGGAAAAAGAGAGAGAGAGAGAGGGATTGAATCCACGAAATACACTATTCTTATCGTTTCAGACAATCCTCTATGCATTCCCTCTCCATACTAATGTCGGCATCATCCCAAAATCCGCGACGCCGCAACGCATCCACGACAACTTGAAGCTAACCGCTCAAGTAATCATTTTATGCCTTTAATGGGTTTTCAAGCGTTTTATTAGTAACTTATTGGCTTTATCCCGGTCTATTTAGGTCCACCTATCCCCCGAAGAGGTCTCGGCCCTCCAGGCGCTCGACCAAGACCGAGCCTTCTGCCCCGGGTGCTGCCCGTGGCGATGCCTGTAATTTGTACACTGCTGTAGCTTTTGTTGCTTCTGGTCCCTCGGAATCCCATCCGCTTCACGATTGGGCTTAACTTACGAGTATTATTGTTGTAATTATTTTTCAGGCCTGTTGTATAAAGATCAAAAATTGATTAACAAACAGTGGCATGTAAAATTTACACCAGTACCTCCATGCGATCCGTTCAATTAAGGCAGCGAAGTTAGAATCAAAAAAAGAGCCTCACAAAGATTCCGTGCGCTGTAAGAAATTGTGGAAAAGACGGCTCTAGTTTTCGAGACAGCTTCTAAGGGGCCGGAAATTAAACGAACCTCTAATTTCAGGTTAGTGAGAAGGGAAAAGCGGTTTCGGGGCTGTAAAAGGCGAAACCTTTTTCAGAACCTTTCGAATTTTTCACAGTTCCCAAGTGACCAAAAAGCGGCTATATTCGGACTCTATGAACCTTTGAAGATAGGGCAGATGTGTTTTTTCTGGTGCCGAGCACAAAATACAACAGACCAGAGGAATACAACAGCCCCCTCAGCGCATAAAAAGGCCTTCGCCACAAATGTTTACGAACCCCCGGCCCGGCACAACAACCATCATTGCTTCGATTTTTCGATAATTTTTGTCTCTAGTTTTTCAAAATCATGTTACTATTGCTCTAAATAGTTTTCTCAATTTTTTATATCAATGTCTGGAATGGCCTTATTCAGTTTTTCCATACATTTATCTCTTTGTAATGCGCATAATCCAAAAATATGGTTGTACTAAACCTTAGCCCACTTCAAATCGCCTTCTCCATTAAAAATAACCTTAATGTTAGTTATAGTTTCAGAAATGGCGCAGACAACGAAAACCTTCACCGCAAAGTTTCAAAATGTTCTTGGCGGCTCGCATGTGTTGAATAATGGAAACGATATCCCGTGGATAGGATTGGGTAAGGAATATTTTATATATAGTTATTAAATAAAGTTTTTAGTTTGCAAATTGATTTTTCTAAGGTATTAAAAATGTATGATGGAAGATAAATAAATTAAACAGATAGATAATCGATAGATCAATCTTTTTAGGAACCGCTCAAAACAAGGACCAAGCCGCGATGGATGCGACGATTCATGCAGCTTTGGAGGCTGGCTATCGTCTAATCGACACGGCCCATATCTATGAAAATGAGCATCAGATTGGGGAGGCTTTGGAGGTAATTATTTTTTTCTAAAACGTCTACAGATACCTTAGAAAAGCTTGGGCCCACTGAATCTTACCCGTGAAGACCTGTTCATTACTTCAAAAGTCCCGGTCATTAACGCTGACCCGACTGGGACTGTTGAAAGTTGCATCAGGCAGTCGCTCAAGGATTTGAAGACCGAGTACGTTTCAGACGTCTTATTTCTATACGATACCTCAATCAAGTTTTGGCATTAAAATGAAACTTTTAATTATAACCTCTTTTAGCTATCTCGACCTCGTGCTCGTCCATTTCCCGAAAGATCGCGATCACGGAAAGCATGAAGACTATGAGGGAAATAAGGAGGCGCGGAAGAAGACTTGGGAAAAGCTGGAGGAATTGCACGGTATTTCTCACTCAGTATATAATTTCACCCACAAAAATGAAAAGAATTGCTTGAAGGTTTTAAACGTTTTGTGTAGCTTGTGCCTTAACTTAACGGGGTTTATATATTTATTCAAAAATTCAAAAAATACTTTAGAACAAGGCACCATCCGCTCAATTGGGGTCTCGAACTACGAGGTCTACCACCTTGTCGAGCTTCTTGAATATGCAAAGGTATCGCTGAGTTTTTTGAGCTTCAAATGCTTTTCAGATCCTCCCCACCGTCAACCAATTTGAATACCATCCATATTACACTCGCCCTACCCTCAAACATTTCTGCGAGCTGAAGGGGATTTTCGTCCAGGTAACAACAACGATTTTTTCTCAAACTTGTAGTTTTAGGCCTTCTCCTCCCTCCTCTGGGAGAACAAGGATATTTGGGAAGAGGTCGTGCTCAAGCAAATCGCCGAGAAGCACAAGGTCTCGCCACAGGTTAGGATCAATACGACCGGATTCGTATAAAATACGTCGTTTCAGACCATTCTCTACGCTTTCCCGCTCTACAACAAGGTCGGTGTTATCCCAAAGTCGGCGACACCTAATCGTATCCACGATAACTTGAAGCTGACGCTACAGGTCGGTTAAAATTTCTGATTTTATCGGTTTAAGCTACGATTCGATACAGGGAAATCAGAAAGCGATTTTACATCCGAATTTTAGGTAAAACTGTCCCCAGAAGACGTGTCCACACTCGAAAAGCTGGACAAAAATCTCTGCTGCTGTACGCCGTGCGACGGATGGCGGGCGCTATAAAAATTGAAGTTCTGTAACTTTTCCTTGTCTGAATGCATTTCTAAATTTTTATCCTGGTTTTGTTTTCCGTAATAAAGCTTTATTTTGGCACGGTAGGAAAAATTTATTCCAGTTGTGCCAGTATTTTTTTGGATACAACAACCATGTATGACTCAATGAAAAACCAATCTTTCCTGATGCAAAAAAAGAGTTTTACATTTGTAAAATTACAGACCAGCCAATTATCGCCGTCTCTGGGGGTCAGGCAGGTGTTTTCAAAGTACCGACCGGAAGACGAATTTATCAGGAGAACGTTGAAATCCTAATGCTGAGAATACTCGAGTGAAAGAACCTTTTCATTTAGTAATGGAACATTTAATTGAATACTGCTATCCGCAGTCAAAGACTCTAGTTTGGCCAGCGTTCAGGGCTATAAAAATGGCACTTTCACTGCCTCGGCAAACGATGAAGATTGATAGCGCATGACAGGGCCAGGAATTGGCCAAAAATCGTTGCCATCCTCAGAAACACTCCATGACATGATGTGCGGCTTTTTAGTATGGGCCTCACCGGAAAATACGAAGTACGATGGCGCTGCTTTTTTAACCGCTTACAGCCACTTGTCCATCTTTTCGATTTCTACTGTACTTTTTCCCCAATGGTAACAAACTGACAACTGCCAGCTTAAAGCAATGCCGAAGGCCTCTTTCAGACACAAGTAATGGTGTAAATTGCAAGGTGAAAATTGTCTTTTCGAGGCCATTTCGGATCTTTTGAGACCCTTACCCCCAATTGTATCCACGCTTGAGTGATCCCTGCCCGAAAGTCATGGCCAATTCCTGTTTGCCTAGACGCGAATATCGGTTCCGATCTTTGCCTCAAAAAAGGCTTATCTTTTCCGAAAATCGTGTCGGGATACTCGGAAAGTGAAGGTTATCCATATTTCAGTGGAAGTAGTACGTTATTGATATATTAAAGTGGTCATTTTTGATATATAAAATTGCAGTTTTCCCTTGAATTTCAGCAAAAGTTTTTCACAACATTTTATTCAGGTTCTTAATTAAAAAAATTACACAGCGTCTAAAGGCTTAATTTCTTAATTACCCGGATTGAAGTGTATAAAGCCCGGCTTTCTATTCTACTAAGTAATTGCTAACGAGTCAATAAATTCCCATTAAAGATTTGCGTGTATATGCTTCTTGAAAATCAACATTTTCGCAACTTCCGCAATTTACAAAATTTTTCGTTATCTTTAGGTATTTCCTTCCTCAGATATATTCTATTTATCTGTACAGTCACTCCGTTATCATTTTTCGTCCTCCCATCGAGTAGACTACGGCTCTCAATATTTGCTTACCCACTTGTTAAGCCATCTCCTACTTGCGATCAGAAAACATCCCTTTCCCACCCGACCACCCCCAGATTGCAAAGTTAAGTTCCCGATTTTTTTCAGGAAATGAATTATTTACTTCTTGGCTTTACCGTGATATTGGCCTATCTATTTTTGAGATGCCTGAAATTTATACAAAATTGGCATCGAATTCACTCTGGGTTGAAGGGCGTTTGGGGCCCACCAGGCTGGCCCGTTATTGGCAATGGATTGGAACTTGGATTGCTGCCAACGTGGAGTTCGTTTGTTCAGAGATATGCATGTTAAAAGCCCTTTTCAGAACTACCCTACTGGCTTCAAGAGCAGGCTTCAAAGGCCCAGGAGGCTGGCCATTGCATGATGAAGCTGCAGTTGTTTGCAAAGTATTTTGTCTTGCCCCTCAATGCTGAGGGGGTCAAGGTATAACTTAAAAGACTTAAAATAACTTTCAAATTTAGCCGATCCTCGATTCGAATAGTGAGATTACGAAAGGAGTGGATTACCGTTTTATTGAACCTTGGATCGGTACTGGACTTTTGACGAGGTAAAAAGACACCTATGATCTCTTGTTCGCTTCTCTCTCTCACTCTCACTCTCTCTCTCTGTCAGTCTCTCTCTCTCTCTCTCTCTCTCGGCTGTTTCAAAGAATTTTATAGCAAGAAAAATTTTAGTACTGGCGCAAAATGGAAAAGTCGCAGAAGGATGCTTACTCCGACTTTTCACTTCAAAATGCTCGATGGATATGCAGCTGTTTTTGATCGGGAAAGCCGAGTAAGTTGACTTAACTCTTGGATAGGCCCGGGTTTTTAGAAACTCTGCACCTACCTCGAAAAATACGACGGAAAAGAGGTCGACCTGTTCCCGATCGTAAAGCATTGCGCTCTGGATATTATCTGCGGTAGGTCTTCAGCTCATGTTTTTGAAGGGTCGTTCAGAAAGTGCTATGGGAGTCTCGGTAAACGCGCTCGAGAATGAGAACTGTTCCTACGTGAAAGCCTTAATGGATATGGGATGGTTGACGCTGGAATGGGCCTTGAATCCGATCAACTGGTGATCCCAATCCCCTCGCTCTCACGCTCCCTCTTGCTCTCTCTCCCTCTCGCTCTCCCGCTCTCTTCTTTAGCCCAAAATCATACTACTGTTAATTTTTTCCTCAGGTTCCCGCCGTTCTGGTACCTATCCGGACGAAAATTTATGTTCGATCGTGTCGTAAAGGAACTGACAGATTTTACGAAAGAGGTATCCATTCACGACTTTGCATCTGCTTAAAAATACGTGTAGCCGATTATCAATTTCGGTTTTAGGTCATCAAGCAGCGAAAAGCCGAATTTGCGAAAGGGGACCGGAAGAAGCTGGGCACCAAACAGACATTCCTGGATTTGCTGTTGGAGGCCAACCAGGAAAATAATATGAACGACGAAGACATACGAGAGGAAGTGGACACTTTTATGTTTGAAGGTATACGATGTTTTATCGCTTAACCTTGCGCCAATTCATTAACATTTTTCCACTTAACAACCGCAACTTTAGGACACGACACTACGTCTTCCGGTATTGCCTGGATTCTATGGTCTCTCGCCTGCCACCCGAAAGTTCAGGAAAAAGTCTATGACGAGATCAGGCATTTGATAAGCGGTATTGTTTGAGTTGCTGAAAAACGCAAAAATTTAGATGATACTGACGCCGAGATTACGATGGACACCTACAAAAACACGCCCTACTTTGAAACCGTGATGAAAGAGTCAAATCGAATTTTCGCACCGGTACCACTGATACAACGCGACTTGCAAAATGATTTTACTTCAGGTAGGTAAAGGATACTCGTTAGGAAAATGAACTCATTTAGGAAGGTATGTTCTGCCTGCCGGCTGCACCATTTTAATAGCCCCTGTCGTTATTCAAAGGAATCCGAAGGTCGGGAATTTAGCTACACTTTACTTGACCCCCACCCCCCAGCCGGAATTTTTTAGCTCTAATTTTTTATTTTACATTATTGTAGGCTCAAATTAAATCTCTTAGTACATTTTTTGTCGTTCGATCGAATGGCGTTGCAAAAGTCCCAATAAAATAAGCGAAAATACCGAAAACTTTGAGACCCTTCGGCTTACGAGGAGGGGGGGGGAAAGTAAAGTCTTACCAGCAATATTGTAATTAGCGTACTGTTTTTAGGTCTGGGGCCCAGATGTGTTGGAATTGAAACCAGAGCGGTTTGATTTAAATGCAGAAAAGGATCATAATCCCTATGATTATATTCCATTCTCGGCAGGACCAAGGAATTGTATAGGTGAGGAGATTTTTCTGGTATCTGTAATTTGTAGCTAACGTAATTTTTAGGTCAACGCTTCGCCCTCCTCGAAGAGAAAGTGATGGTGATGCACATCATCAAGAACTACAAAATCCGGGCGACAATCGGATTCCACGAAAATGAGTTGGAAACCGAGATCGTCACGAAACCACATCGAGGAATTCGGGTGGTGCTGGAGAGGCGAGAGGAAAATGCATAATTCGAGAAAATTGATCTTAATAAAACCATGTCATTATCTCTATGGAAGCAAGGCACATGGTCAGCCAGCAGTGATCATTGAGGAAAGGGTCATCAATTCTGAGGGTTCATTAAATCACTCCCACTCTCTCGCCCTATTTCTCTCCCTCTCTTTCTCTCTCTCTCTCTCTCTCGATGACGAATTGTCGGGAGCTGCGTGACGTGCTTTTCCATGTAATCACGAGGAATTTTCTGATATCATCCTACCGTGATTTTTCTATGAACTTTCTCACTACTACTTGCCCAAAAAACCTTCCCGCCAATTCCTTACCAAATTGGAGAAGACAAATAAAGCGTTGAGTCTTTGGAGCTTCAAGTGGGCTTTATCGGCGAATGAGTCATTCTATTGGCTTACCCGGGCCCCTAGATTGTTTGCCGATATTGGTCAGGGCCCTTGGAAGTCCTTAAAATGGGTGATATAAAGGAAAAAATGACCCAGGTGTTCTGCAGTATTGTCTCGGAACTACGCCGTTTTTTAATCCGCAATGTTGCTGTTTTTAGTGGTTTTGCTACCAGGTATTCCATTTCCATATATCACTGATTGTAGTATTTTTAGTACTTTCCGCTGCGCCAAACGGTGCGATACCTACCAATACGGTAAATTACTTTTAAGCGAAAATTTGGCTTTTTAGGACCTCGGAAATGGCGTCAGCCCTCAACGAAACGATCCAGGGCATATAGATGTAATTTTTTACATATTTTTGTCAATCGCAATATTTTTAGGACCCAACAAAACCTAATTCCGACATTGGAAATGGGGTCGCTCCCGGGCACTTTGTAAGTTAAAAGCCACGCAATATTTCAAAAAAAATTTTAGCCGACTCCTATTGGCTCCGGAAAACCGTCAATATTTGTAAAACGGAATTCGAGACGAGCTTATGGGGTAGGTGATTAAATATCTGTCAAGATTGCTTTCCTAGAGCTCCATGAATAATAATTATTACTATGAGCCCAGCTATAGGAATTACGATACCAGCGGCTACGGTAGTTACGGTAGCTATGGCTCCAATCCCTATGTAAGTTTTTCGGTTATCTTTTTTTACGGCTGATTAAAAAAGTTCGAGAATAAAAGTAAAAGTAATGCGAATTTTAGGCCTACCGTGGCTCCGACGGCGCTCGTTATAACAACTACGGGTATACAAATTACGACCAGCTGAATGACGGTTACTACGATATCGGACATGGCGCTTTTCCTTCAAACCATCACTACGATCCGATAGATCCGAACGGGGAGCCGCAAAACTACTTCTACAATCCGTATATGAACGGTCAACAACAAAACAATAATATTAATGATGATATATTCGGGTGGAGGAGATAAATTGTCGATAAAGCGTTAAAACGGTCTACGTTTTCCAGAATTTTGCAGAGCTTTTTTCCATAGTTCAAAGATTTTTCCCAGGATGCAAGGACAATAGTTGCTTGAGCTTATACCTGGATAAAGCAAGGCAAATCTCTTTATGATGAGGGTTTAGTGATTTTAAAGCGGCCAAGCAGCATCGAAATCGACCACCCAGACGATTAGGACTCGACAGCTACTTGTCACATAAATGACGCCTGAAAAAATAGCATTGTGACGCTTTTTCAAACAGTAATAAAATTTGTAGCACGCGTAGATTTTCGATATCTAGTTTGAATAATGGGGTCGATTCCCGGGTTCTCAGTCTCTTTCAAAAATAAAGACAAAGCCAGACAGAAACCGGGATACAACCTCTTTTTTCGCCGTTATTTGTTTTGCTAGTTCCGGTAAGATGCTCTTTCAAGGTCCTTGGATGGCTTGGCGATACCTTAAGTCCACCAGCTCATAAATATCCACCCTTCCTGATTCCCTATCGCAACCTAGGGCACTTTTTAGCGAGCCAACCACCCAGTCTCGGCTGGCCCGGGGTCCATCGATAATGAATTTATATGCGTTGGCTGCTTCTTCTCCTTCTACTCCTCAGCCATCGCTTGCCGTGTGTGTATGTTCTCGCCTCTTCTTTGGAGATTTGTGGGTGTGTATGTGCGTGTTTGTCGGTCTGTCTGTCTTTTGGAGGAGGATCTAATTCTGGGGCCTCGTGTGTGTCGGGGGGCGATGGCACTTCGAGGACATGCCCCCCCCTCACCCATATAGGGGCCAGGACCCCCTCATGGGCTCACAAGTGGACACCTCTAAAGTGATGAGATCACGACGAGAGCTTCACACATAGACTTCACATCTCGGCCTTCAACTTCGATTTCGATGGGCTTTAGTATTTTTCTTTTCCAGCTATGGCTGTCGTTTTAAAGAGGCAGGGAAGTCAAACTATGACTTGCCTTTTCATAGTTTAAGGTGTTTTTGAGCCATAGGCATTTCGTACAACAAATTTAAGAGTTTACCACGCGTCATCGGGCTTCAATTGCCCCTTAATAAAAACATATTATACCTTGCCTCCCTAGTACTAGTTTTTTGGGTTTAAAGAGTCCGGCAAGGCAAAACAAAAATATAACGTTTATAGATTTTCAGGCTCATTACATAGTTCTCTTCAGTAAACAAGCCACTCAAAAATTTTGACCCCACGCGGCGTTTCATGGTTTACGCACGAGCTTCGGTTCGAGCCGGTCGTCCTTTGGAATTAGCAAATTTTCAGGACATCCCACTATATATAAAAAAATAGTGTTTGTGTGTGTGTCTGTGCCACTTTGCATACAACTTCCGTCACCGTGTTCCAGTAGTATCTCAAGAAGGGAGGTACTTAAGGGTATGTTCCATGGGAGGGTGTGGTCAGGAGATGACTGCACGCATATGATATTTAACAAAATCACCTATTTTCGGTATTAAATTTAAGTTTTTGTTGCAAGATTGGAGACTCTCTTTGTTAGGAATCAATTAGCGTGCACCGGGGGGGGGGGTCGCTATTTACGGGAAGGCCGGAAACGATTTTCCTTTTGAAACCGGAGGGAGGGAAAAGAATTAAAGAAATATGCTTATCGGAATCAGAGTAAGGCATGCAGGAAGTGGGAATGGGCTTTTCAACCCTGGTTGGATCAATTTCATTTTCAATCATTTTCATCTTCAATGAAGCAGTTGACTTGCTTTCGTCTATGGCACTTTCGCATGGCTGATTTCCCTAGATCAGCTATATTTTTTTAATATTCGCCCGCCCTAGCCGTTGTTGCCTTCCGAACCAGCCAACCAGAAAAGATGATATATCACGAATTCGGGGCCCGAAAAATTATCTTCTAGTCTGAAAAAGGCTGAAAAAAAACACAAAGGCCGAAGCGTCGGGCTGTCTATGGCAGACATCCTTTTTCTCGGAAGCTGCCGGATTTGGTTAGTATAGATTGCAGCGCCGTGTGAATTTTCCGGCTTTGCCGGCAGCCATCTGGTAGCTTGTATTTTTATTTTCATAACAAGATTTAAATGTGGTAATAGAAATTATAAATTTATAAAGAAATCCTAAAACTGAAAAATTATGTAAATGTAATAATTGCCTAATTTTTAAAATTTTTATCGGATTGATTTGGCCGTCAGAAATTGGCCGGACTGACTGGCCCCTTTAATTCTAGAGAGTTTTACTGAAAAGGTGTCTAAAAAAAAAAAAAAAAAAAAGGAAAAAAAAAGGGGGGGGGGGGGGGGGGGGGAAAAAAAAAAAAAATGTAAAAAAAAAAAAAAAAATTAAAAAAGGGGGTTAAATATGACACAAAGAAAAAAAGCGAGCGAAAAGAGGACAAAGTAAGCGACCTGGGGGCGGAATTTATGAATTTTTCACGAGCTCGCTTGTCTTCCCGGGTGACCATTTGTGCGCGAGCTTCCGCCCCAGGGAAACGTCTTAAAAAGCCTGCATCGACTTTTTTTTTGGTTTTTGGCTTAATTTTGGATTTATGCAAACGCCTAGCCCAGCTAAAAAAGTGAATAAAGTTAAGCTGAGCCTAAGCTGAGTCAAAGCTAAACCTAAGGTAAGCTTGCCAATTTTTGCTTAAAATGCACTAAAAAACGTTATAACTTTGAATCCTAACTATTTGGCAGTTTTTTAAAACAGAGTCGGAATCAGCAAAAAATTCTGCACAAGACAGGCTTGGTCCCGGACGGAATTTCCATCCTGATCCAAAAAAACTTTACTGGCAGAGAGATATCGCCATTTTTACGTTTTTTTTTTGGCCGCAATTACAATTTGTTCAAGCGCCAGTTAGCCTGGGAAGCGAAATATACTCCTGCACCCTTACAGGCTCCTTTAATTAATTCCCGACCGGCAGATCTGTGACAGATCTACACCCATTCTTTGCCGGTCCACCAGCCAAGCTACCCCACCCACACCTTATTTCCGTTTTCCATTCCCGTCCGCCGGGCCCATCGACATCCCATTTTTAGCCCCCGTATTCATCCCCCAATTTCTGCCCAAAATGGCCCCTCTTGGTTTCCAGGGCTTTTCGCCCTTAATTTCCGTTGTTTTGGCGCCCTGGGATTCATTTTTGGTAGATGTGAAAGTCGGAATTGTCTTCCTCACTGGAAATGGGCTGCAACATTTGTCGGCCTGGGAAAAGCGCCAGCAACCTGGAGATTGACAAGCAGCTGAAGTCAGACAAGCTGTTGCAGGCGAAAACGATTAAGATCTTGCTGCTTGGTGGGTTAATAAATGGCCTTAGCTTAAAGTTTTCTTTTTTCTAACTCTAAAGTTTTTACTTGATATTGGATTTCTAAGAATTTTGCCGCGCAGACCGCGTCGTGCAACGCGCACGTCTTCGCGTCTGAACTAACGGCCTGAATGAATTACACGATGTAAGGCAGTGCGGGAGCATCGCGTGTCTCGGCGCGTGTGACCGTAGGATATTTACACCGCGCTCGCGACACGCAACGCGCGCGGCTTCGCTTGGAAACGGTGGTAACCGATTACGCAATGCAAGGGACGACATGCGTTGCGTGTCGGGGCTGAGGTACAATTCAAGTCAAAAAATTAAAATTCCAGAATAAATAAGATCGATAAGATCGAACCTTACCAGTCCCTTATAAACAATCGATAATTTTAGGCACCGCCGATTCCGGGAAATCGACGATCGTAAAGCAGATGAAGTCTGTAGTCACATAGCCTAAATCCAAGCTGATTCAGATATATGTACATTGCCAAAACCGACCCCAACGATCTACACCTCTACACGATACAAGTCTTACAAAATCTAAGGATTATATTTCATGAGCTTGCCAAAGCTATTCTCGATTTGTATAGACCAAGCCAGGGATCGAAGGTATCGGATTTTAAGGTTAATCTGACGTATAGTTTTTCTAGGATATTTTTGATCGATTTGCCACAATGGAACCCCAGGATACTGAGGTTAATTGGGCCGATGAAAGGGAGCAGATGGAAGAATTTTCTAAGCTCACTGACGTGACGGATTTTATGGAAAAGCATAAATTCTATCGAACATTGCCGGACAATGCTTCCTAGTAAGTTACTTCTTAACGATGCTATTCCAAAAAAATATAAACTAAGAACCGCTTTACGGCAGAACCCACAGCTAAAATTTTAGCTTTTGGAATCGTGTTCCGGAGGTTCTGAAGCCGGATTTTGTGGCCAGCGACCAGGATACCGTACACCTGAGAATACCGACGTACGGGATTCACGAGATCAAGTTCAAGTTCAAACATGGGACGATCAGGTGTGAAAGTCTAAATCCTCGGCAAATTGCCATCCCTTTCGCTCGCTCTCTACCTCTCCCACGCTCGCTCTCTCGCGCGTTGTCTCTCTCTCTCTCGCTAGGCCCTAAGAATCCATCCATAAACTCTAAAACGCATCCAGATTGATCGACGTCGGTGGTCAACGTGCAGAACGGCGAAAATGGATCCACTGCTTCGAAGGGGTAACCGCCGTGATGTTCGTGGCAAGTATGGCCAGCTACGATCAGCTTCTCGATGAGTCTCCGGATACGGTACCCACCTCCAAACATTAACAGATGTCAATTTTTCATTTCAGAATCGAATGGCTGAAGCTTTGAAGTTGTTCTACGAAGTATTCCGCAACCGTTGGCTTGCGGCCTCTGGATTTTTGCTATTTTTGAACAAGTTCGACCTCTTTGACGGGAAAATAGCATTTTCACCTATATCCGCGTTTTACCCGGAGTATACAGGTAGGAGGGTTAATTGATTACAATAGAAAAATAAGGCTCTTCACGTCAAAAAATTCAAAGTTTTAGGTTTTTTTTGAATTTGTATTTTTAGGAGGCCGTAACGTCCATAAAGCAGCCGACTTTATCCATGACTTATTTACAGATGTAGGTAATTTTGAAGACTACTCGTGCATAAAAAAAATCGCCATTTGTTGCTTGTAGAAATTGGCAAAAGACGACATGGAACGGCGCGGCTTCCACGCCCACTTCACCTCAGCTGTGGACCCGGAAAATATTGGATTTGTATTTAATGGATCCGTTGACATTATTATGAATAGTAATTTGTATGGCACCGGAATGATGTGAGGGTGGTCTTAATAAATGATATACTTTACTGAATGACAAAAGACGCACAAAGATAGAGGTATTGAAAGTAATCAGAAATTATGCCATTTTAACTTATCCTACTATATATAAAAAAATAGTGTCTGTGGTGGTGCGTGTGTGCCCTTTGGCGTCTCTCGTGGGGTGTTCTAAAAAGGGGGGGGGGGGGGGACGTGGGGTGCCGCAGAAGGTTCGCAAGTGACATCATTGCATCTTTGCATATCAGATTTTGCAAATTATGCTATTTTCGACCCTAAAAATCAATTTTTGTAAAAAAATCGGGCAGCCTCTTTGTTAGGAATTAATTAGCATACGCCGGAGAGCGGGGTATATCGGGCCTATAGGAGCAGAGAAGGGCGCCTTTTTCACTCCTTTGGCGGAGTGGGGTGGCCGGAAGGCGTACCTCATTGTTGTAAGCCTTGGTCGGCCAGGTCGGTTTGAAAACTCGCGAAGCGCTCACCTTTCAACCCTTATTTAATTTTCCCCCGGAAGTTTCGCAAACATAAATGCATTTTTGCATGCAATTTTATTATTACTAGCAATACGATTGGTTAAGATACGTTTTCATATTTATCGGACATTTTCGCATTTTGGAAGGGTTCGAAGTGACGCCCATTTTCCTCCTCCCGCCGCGAAGCTTTATCAGCCTTCCTATTTTTGTTGATAATTCCCATCTAAAAATATTTTGCTTAATAACCACTGCTATGCATCGCTGTTTTCCGACCGCTCCCCTTGCGTTGTTTTCCAATTTTTCGGACGCGTCCGAAAGTGCAGAAAAGAGGCGCAAAAATGGTAAACAAGTCGCGAGGAGGGCCACTATCGACCTAGCCGCCCCTTCCCAGTTCTAGCCTGGTTTTTGCATCTGGGATTGTCGTGGATTCAATTTTCACGTCTTCTGCGTTGCTCCTGGAAAATCCTCGGCCAAATCTGGTCCTAAAAGTGTCTTTTCTGGCTCAAAAACTCTTAGGAATTGGCTTAGTTGCGGCTCTAAAACTACATTTTTCCGCACAACCTTTAATTTGACGCTTTTTTATGGCTAAAATCCGCGTTCAAAACCTCTTTTTCAGCTTTCAAAATTCACGTCACATTCTTTTTCATCAACTGCCTGATCCCAGGCAGGTTTAAGTTGAGGATGGTCCATTTTTTCGTAAAATACACCCTGATCGGCGTCGCCTTGGCATTTTTGGGACAATTCATGTGAGTTTCACAATATTTTAACGTATTTTACATACGCATTTTTGAGATGGATGCTCGATTTAAACAAACGAGTATATCCGCATCGACCCGGGACCTGCCAGACCGTGCAGGGGATCGGTAAGTACACTCAAAATGAAGCGATTCCTTCTTTTTAGAAAAAGGCTCCGAACATCTTGAATATATTCCTTCTGAAAATATTGTATTAATATCTTCCGGTCTGCAGATGATGACCGATATTCCGGATAGGCCGGGAAAGGTAGATAAAAAGAACTTGAAACGTTTAACCCGAAATAGCTTTTTTTACTGCCTTTTTTAAACTGACCCGTGTGCCAAAAATTGCTAAATAATAGTTGGATCACGTCGTAATTATTAAAATTGTTCTTTTCCAGGTTTTATTAACATTTAGATTGATCACATTCAGTTCAGCAGCTATCTAAGCAAAATTAATACATAATTTTTAGCTTCTAATTTCAGATCTTCCTCTACGACTTTTCCGAAAAAGCAAACAAAGCTTACCCGCTTGCGATCGATCGTGAATTAGTAAGTCCTATAAATCATCAAATTGTAGACTTGTTTAGCACGATTTCCACCCACATGGCATGAGCCATTTCATCGAAAATGGCAAAATTTATTTGTATGCTGTCACGCACACGATGGCCAGGAATGGGTTCAAGCACTCGATAGAAGTAAGCGTTTAAAAATAACTATGTATCTGTCTTTTTAGCTCTTTGAATTCAACAAAAAGGGAAAATCACTTCATCACATTAAAAGCTATCAGCATGAGGCACTATTCAGGTAATATTTTCATAATTTTTACGTTGAATTTGAATTCTAGGCCAAACGGCGTTTTCGCAGTCGGTATGGACAAATTTTTCGTGACAAATGATGGAAGAGCTCAAGTAAATTGTCGCAAAATACTTATAGGATGCTCTTTTAGAAAGGTTACATGAATTTAATAGAGGTTATGCTAAATATACCGACTGGCAGCGTGATCTACTATGAAAACGGGGTAATAGCCAGTTTTTGACGCTTTATTTAAATTTTAGAAAGTTCACGCTATCGTTTCCTACGATCTAACGCCAAATGGGCTTTGGGTGGATTTGAAGAATAAGATTTTATACTATTCCTCTCATTTGGGAGAGTTTGTCAAGGCGATAAAGCTGAATGACGTAAGTGCCAAGAAAATAAAAACCTTAGCTGGCTTTTAGGACCTGAAATCGCAAAAAGAATACCTTGGAAAGGCGGCTTTACTATCGGGAGTCGATAATTTGTTCTTGGACCAGGAAGGTAAGTAAAATTATTACGACTATGCTAACAGGGGGCAAAACTTTGGAACCGTACGGACATATCAAAAAAGATACCAAATGAGTATGAAAAAAAATTTGGGGATATTAGAATCCAAAACTTGTCGAAAAACCCAACTTTCGCCTAAAAAAGCAAAAAGTTTGCCGCCAGCAGGGGTCGAACCTGCGACCTTGGGCTTATTAGACCCACGCTCTAACCAACTGAGCTATGGCGGCGGTGGAGAGAGGGCGCTTGGGGCTTGCTATCAGGGGTAGGCCCTCCAGAGAGAGCGAAAGGGGAGCCTAACCCCCAATCCTTACAGGCTACTTGTGGACAGCCGGGAACCCCGTTTTCCATCGCGTTTTCGATGCCAGCAAATGTTTCACAAGGGAATTGAGAGCGGGAGAATTTCCCCCATCTCAGGTATGATACAAACTATTGCTTGAATATCTAATTTAGGTGCTCCGCATCAAGTTTTCGGACGATTTCCGGACCCACGAGGTGGGACTCCAAATTTTCTTTGTTTTGATTTATTTTTAAGCGCCTGATCTTTACTCAAATTGAGTTATCTAGGTAATCGAACCTTACACTGATGATGGTGAACAAATTACGTGCTCGGCGGGCGCGATACATAACGGAAAGGGGCAAATGTTGATTGGTAAGGAGCTACCTACCGAGAGAGGATTTCATAGCGTAACTGGATCAATTTTGGACGTGAGCTAGATAATTATTCTAATTTAGCATTATTATACCTATTTAAGAGCACTTTCGACTTTAATTGGGAATATCAAGCCCAAAAATTTGCAAATTTTTCACTTTCTAAACAAAAAAAAATCCTATTTTTCAGCCTTTTAAGCTTATTAGGGTCAACTTTGAAACTTTTGCCCTATACCCCATTGCAACCAATAAAAATAACTTTTCAAAACTATCAAAAAACTATATAAAATTTGCTATTTTCTGGCGTATTGACAGAAATATTCGGTTTTTAGGCTCCGTCGGCACCACTCTGCTCCACTGCACATACACTCCAGAGTCAATTAAGCTATAGAAAGTTTGCTCAAATTTTTTCGGGTACCTGTATAAATCCTTTATATTTAAGATGCTCTCCATGTCTTATTTCTGCCCCACAAACCATAAACACACAACGGCGGACACCGAGACAGACCCGCGACAGTTTGCTTTTTTCTCTGCGTCTCCCAATTTTACCCGTTCTGCCATTTTTTTCCGGCACGAATTGATAGCACCCCACAACTTCCAAGGCCTAATTTACGGGCGAAAAATTTTCGAACAGTTTTTTAAGGCTCTAAGAATTTTCGATGCAATAACAATTGTTTTTCACTAGAATCTTGCAGTTATCTGCATTTTCAGTAATGTTCAGCCTATTCTCCTGGGCAATTGGCCTGGTTTTGGCCTACTTTTTGGTGGATACATTGTAGGTTACTGCTTTTATTTTTTGTATGTGTTTCTGTGAATTAAATTATACTTCCAGATTTGTTTTGGACATCAACAAACGCACGTATAACCACAGGCCCGGGAAGTGCGTGGAAATTAAGGGGATTGGTAAGCTTTTTTCTTCATTAAGTAAGCTATTTGCAGTATCTGATAAAAATTGCCTAGAATATTGATGAAAAAATATTTTAACAAAACGAAACAATAAATGTATTTACAGACGAAGGCTCTGAACACGTCGAATATGTGCCTTCGAAAAACATTGCCTTTATGTCGTCGGGTGTAATGGGAATTATGGATGGCAACGAGGCGGGCAGGGTCCAATTTCTTGAAAATTTTGAAATACTTTGAATCTCCAGATGTTCTACTACGATATGAGCGAGAAAAACACAAATCATCAAGCTGTTCAGATACCTATCCAAAATCCACCCGTATGCCTTCAGCAAAAGCGGAACTGGCGTCTTTAAAATTCAGAAAATCTTCATACCCCATGGGTTCTCGCACTACATCCTCGATGGTAAGGTGTATCTCTACGTAATCTCGCATACTCCGTTGAAGAAGGACTTTAATCATAGTATTGAGGTATGAAAGGATGCAGCATGTTTTGAATTTATCTTAAATTGTTAGGTCTTTGAATTCCAAGAAAAGCCTCTGGGACTGAAATGGGTGAAGACGCTTAAGGACAACCTGTTTGTAAAGTGAGTATATCTTTTGTGGCCCTTTCTCTCACTCTATCTCCCTCCTCTCTCTCTCTCTCTCTCTCTCTCTCTCTGTCTCGCTCCAGAAAGTTGTGCATTTTTAATCTAGGCCCAATGGCCTGCACGCTATCGGAAAAGATCAATTCTTCATCTCGAACGACGGATCTGCACAGGTTTAGGAAGTTATTTTTCATTTTTGTATTGTTAAGAGTGAAATCGGGACCTTCTTGGAGATGTTCTTCCGCCGCCCCGGCGGTTCCGTCGTGTATTTTGATGGGCAGGTATCGAACGTCTTCCATAACGTTTTTCGTTTTTGAGACACCATCCTTTTAAAATATCAAGTTTTGCTACTTTTCAGAAATCCCATCTCCTAGTCCCCAGCGACGTCACCCCCAACGGCATCTGGGTCGACAAAACCAAGCAAATCCTATATTACGCATCGCCTTTCAAGGAAAAGTTGGTTGTTCTGCAGTTGTCACAGGTTAGGCCCGATCATTATAGCTGGAGCAAGCTTTAGGACTTCACAAAAGTCGAGAAGGAATTGGCAACGATTCAACTTTTGACGGCTCCTGACAATTTGTTCATGGATTCTGAAGGTTGCGGCTTACCATTAGAGGTTACGATACTGTATTTAGGTGCGCTTTGGACTGGCGCTCATCCCGTGCTGTACAAATTGCTCAACATGGAGGCGTGCATGAAAAAGGGGGAATGTGAGAAGCACGGAACCTGCCCGCCATCGCAGGTAAAAGCGCCAGCGTTAAAAACTTAATAGCATGAAGATGTAGACTTAATGGTATCGCTTTAATGACAGGTCCTGCGCATCAAATTCTCGGCCGACTTCAAGTCCCATGAAATTACGGAGCCATACAGCGACGATGGCAACCAACTCCCATGCTCCTCGCATGCCATTCACGACGGGAAGGGAAATCTTATCATTGGTAAGGTTCCAAGTGGTTTTCAAAAGCCACAAAATTCAGGTACCATCGCCAAAAATGCGCTACATTGCAAGTATACACCGGAAACGATTTTGGCTTAGAAATAGGTTTTAACAATAAATGAAGAAAATAGATAAAACGCCCCTTTGTCCAGGCTTATTTTGCACATCGATCGATCACTTTCGGGGGCAGCTTCTTGGATTTTTGGGGGAGCCTCTCATAGACGATCATCTGGAAACGTTCGTATATCACTCTCGTTATCTCTCTCTCTCTCTCTCTCTCTCTCTGTCCCTCCAAAATCCATAACCTACATCCTCGTCGCTGTCATAATCACAACGTCTCCCCTTCCCTTCCTCGATCGATCTTTCCACCTCCTGCTCGTCCCTTTGCATCACACGCAACAGTTTCGCAACCAGGTACAGCTCGAGCAGCTTCTCGATTCCGAACTGTACAAATGACCCCTAGTAACGCCACTTTCTAATGACTTACGTAAAGGAAGAACGTTGCTTGCGGGAAATCGGTGCCCGGGAACCCAGCGATACAGGTCTGGAGCTTGGCCTCATGCTTGAAAATATCTAAAATCGGGCTTAATTTTCATTGTTTCTAGCATTAAATTTACCTGTCGAGGTATCCCCAGCCCACATGTGTTGCAGCCGACAGAATAAGGGAACCGAGACGTAATAAATAAAGTATAGAACCGGCACGAAGGCGCAGGGGAACTGAAAAAAGTTTGAATTTTAATTTGAAGTCATCTACCAGCATGAAAAATAGGGGGCAGAGGAAGCGCCATTTGTCGGAGAGCACGGCAAACATGGCGCATAGACTGACGGTAAGCATTCTGAATCACAATACGTTTTAAAGGGATACTGCCGGGAGGATCAGAAATGTATCTAAAGCTGATTAGGCCGCCTCACACGATCCCGAAGCCCATATAGCTGCCCGATCCGAACGGCACTGTTAACGACATCTCGTAGACTGCGAAAAAGAGCGTGATGTTCGCCAACACGACGATGAGGAGCGAGGCCTGGAAAGTTAGCCTTATCACTTATATACGTTTATTACTGTAAGCCCTGCTTTATAGAGGTTTTGTTAGAGAACGATATATCTTATAGATAAATATGTAGCTATCGCCACTCGCTCTCTCACTCTGTCTCTCTGTCTTACTTTCGCCCTTGTTGTCTCTCTCCTCCATTGTTGGCAACATTCGTGTAAAGGTAGCAGGTTTATATTACAGAAAAATCCTAAAAGATCCCTGCTAGCTTTTTTGGCTGTCGCTTCGAAAAGTCAGTCCCAACCAGGTTTGAAAAACCGCTTCGCGGCTTTTCAACCCCGGCCCCGGCTATGGTCTGTGAAGTTATTGACTTTGCATAATTCGGGCCGAAATTCCAGCACCAAAAAATATAATCAAGGACCTCCAAAGACCCGAAAACGCCTATGCATTAAATTAAAGATAAAAACTCATTAAAGTGGTACTATCGCAAGAACCCATTGCCTAAATTCAAATTTACCTTCAAAATCATGTTCTTGACGGGGGGCTTGGCGTAGACGAAATTCGTCTCCGGATCTGCCTGCTCGCCACCACCACCACGACCCATCCCAGCTGAATCACGAATGGATCGATCCCCAAAATGCTTATATTTTTCAAGCAAACCGGCAAAAACAGGAGGAGAAGCCGTGCGACAAAGGGAATCGATCTGGGAATGGTTTGGGTGACCGAAACAGGGGGAGGACAGCTGAACGTGGCTCTTCCATCGAAAACCGATATTCTCGCTTTTCACCTTGGCCCCGGTCACACAGGGCTTTTGGTTTTTATAGCTGTGAGATTGTGACGATTTATACTTGTCTTAGAACAGAGAGAAAAGAAGATGAGAACGAGAAAGAGAGAGAAAGAGAGAGAGAGAGAGAGAGAGAGAGAGAGTGAGAGAGGTTTTGGCCTTTTTCGGCGTTATCCTGTCCCTCTTTACCGGCTTCTTCATCTACATAATGTGTTTCGTCGATCCCGGTCCTGGCGTTGCGTTAGTCAATTAAGCTGTTGGATTGTCTTTGTAAAACCCCTCATGTTGAACCCGTTGAATAATTCTGTTGATCCTACGACCGGTTTACAAGAGCTTAATAAATTTTTACCGCGCCGGAATATACATTAAAATGATAACTTTTTTCGCAAGGTTTTTAAATTGTGCTTAGCGGCCGAGGCCCTAAACGTTGGCCGGGATCCAGCCTGGAAATTGGGGTTAGATTGAGAACAAAATTATTTTTACCTAAAATGTCTGAACCGCTGATGCTGGGAACGCAAGTTGGCTCATTGGGGCACGGCGGGGTGAAGCAGTCGAGCTAAAAGTTTAGGAGAATGAATACAAAAGCTGATGGTTTATTAGTTTGGCATACTCAAAATCCGATACCGGCACTCAATATGAAATTCTACATTTTGGTAAGCGTTGAATTTTAGATTCCGGGATTTTAAGCTGAAAGACATCATTGGAGAGAAAAGTTACATCTTTAAATTATTTTCACGTTTTTAAAATCATTTTGGAATTGTTTTTACAACGTTTTCTGAATTTTTAATTTGAGGATATACTAAAATTCGACTTGGACTTAAAAACCCCCACCGTCTTCACCTCACACTTTTGCAGCGCACCGCATTTCACGTTGTCGCACGATACGGCTTGAAAAAGCTATGACCCGGTATGAGTAGCACTCAAAACCTGATGGGTAGGGAACACTAGCTCTGCGCTTGGTGCCCGGAAGAGCAGCCAATATTAGCACAAATTGGTGTTGGAGGGGGAGTCGCATTCGTGCTCACTTTAAATGCGAAAACGACCCCCCCCCCCCTGAGCCGCCAGACCAAAAATAATTTTATTTTTGTAGCACCAACCTATAACCTACCACCCCGGGAACTAACGAAGGCCAGAGCTTAACTACAAACACGAAATATGCCCCCCCGACTTGCTATGTTTTCCGTTCTGGGGTATAGGGAAAGGCACTAAAAGAAAAAATAAAAAATGGAAACGGGATAAAATTTTTTTTACTAGTTCAATCCTATAATTCAATTTCAAATCCGAACCACCCCAGATAATATTTGATAAAAACCCCTGTTAAGATTAAATGGGAGGAAGATTCAGACGAAACACCACTTATGATAAAAGTGAAATCTGTCACGACCTTTTAATATCTTATCGACGCACTGAAGTCCCAGGAATAGGAATCGCTAGTTACGAATTACCGCGCGAAGCCAATATTACATCCTCTAAAATCCAAACGTAGACGGAAAACACAACGCGGTATTCCCCGAGGGGCTGGAAGAGGTTGCGGACATTTAACTACAGAACCCCAGCGGAACACACAAAAAAGGCTGTCGGGGTGGTTAAAAGGCTGCAAATATAAAAGGGCTGGAGAAAGAAGGAATTCTGAAAGAGAAAGAGGGTCTACCGACGGGGTCGAACAGGATGGTCCGCCCCGCAGTCCGATGCGTTAGCCAGTACACCAAAGAGTCGAGTAGAGAGGGGCGGCGGAGGGCCCCCACATACCCTAGGGCGGTTCGCCACCTATACAAGAACTGCCATTAGAAATAAAGCAATTCATGGCGAAAAAAAAAATGTTAAAAAACCTAGCTAACGGAACAGCAACTTAGAGTTGCTCTTTCTATTTTCAACCGAAACAGTGTCCCAAACCCGTATGGCTTAAGAACTTGACCGCCTTTACCCCCGGCTACAAAAATACTCAATGCACTACACCCCCTCCTACAGGAAATTTTTAGTTGAAAAAACATTAAAACAAAAAAAAAATAAAAAATAAACTGGTTTTTTCAAACGAGGGAGGAGGTTTTACACGCGAGGGAAAGTGTCGATGGCAACCACCCCGGGCGGTCCGTCACATATAGACAGCACCCCAAAGAGAGCACCTAAAAAAAAAAAACACCCCCCGTGCTTTTTTCTCTACCCGGGTGCCTAGAAGTGCCGGAAAGCACCCCGCACGGGGTGTCGGGTCTAGCAGAGTTGAACAAAGAACCATAGACCAAAAGTGAACACCCGAGGACAAGATGCCAACAGCAAACTGGGGGTTTGGTAGCATTTGTCGAGGTTGTGAAAGGCGGCGGACGATTTCGAAGACGTTTCCCCCCCATCCCCCACAACAGTGGGTACAGAGTGCAAATATGGCATTTTCACGCTCTTCCAACGGTATACTTGACGTTACACGCCGTCGGGACAGAGGTGGGGGTTAGTGCTGAAAGGCGTACGCCGAAGTTGTCGAAAGTAGTAAAAACCTACCATTCGAAAAAAAAAAAGAGCGCGAAGAGCCCGCGAAACGATCAGCTTAAAAGCTCACCCAGGTGGAAGAAAACGTCCGAAATCGTCCGCCGCCTGAACAACCGAACAAATGCTACCAAACGACTCAAATGAGTTGCAAGCAGTTTGGCACCGTCTGCCCCGGAAGATGATGTTCAGAATTAAAAGCCTCATAAAGCAACACCGACCCCGAAAGACCCAAAAGCCCCCGGGGCAGGGCGCACTCAGCGCCAGGACCGCTTTCCGAGCCCCCCGGGGTGCTTTTTAAAAGGGCCGGGAAAGCACCTCGGGGGCTCACCCCCGGGGTGCCCTTTGGGGGGGTGGCCCACCGTCACCCCCCCCGACGGACGCGGCCCCCCTTCCCCAGCCCTTTAAGGAAAATCATTAATAGCTAGGGAATCCCTACTGACCCTGTAAAGTTCCCGGTAAGGGAGGTATTCATGGCTTTTCCGTACCTTATTCCGGCAAGTCTTTACTTTACCTCCCCCAGCCGGAAGTTCCCCAGAGTTTTTCGCCATGCCTTCTTTATATAAGATTTTGGGGTGTGATTAAAGTTTTTCAATTAAATTTGATATTCCATCAAATGGCATATCCAAAATCCCGACAAAAGAGCGGAAAAGTCCAAAAAGCTTCGGTGGCGGGTGGGTAAATTAAACTAAATATTTATTCCGCGTTCCAGTAAATGGTAGTGGCTGCTTCAGATCTCTTCCCATTTGCATTCCAGAAGACATTTGTGATGTTTCAAAATTGGGGGTTGGTCTGTTGTTCAAAAGACGACGTTTGATCAGACATTGCATACGTTCGCAACAATTTCCGTGAGATTGTTTTTTTGTGTCTGAAAATCCGTTGGTCAGACTACGTCTAAAAAAATCCGGAAACACCGGAAACTCTCAGCATCATCACATCATGTACGGACTAAAAGTCGGCGGCTTTGCACGATGTAGCTCAAAAGTTCAGCTTTTATTTTCTGGAGAAGTTTTGGTTTACGTTTGCTCTAGGAGGCCTAGGCTTATGCTTGGGCTTTATGCTTAGGCTTACGTTTTAGGCCTAGGCCTTTTAGGCCTATTATACTATTGTATTGTTGGAATAGTTGTCTTAGGCAGAAAGAAAGTTGCACGACTATTCCAAAACTTTTCGACTTTCCACGACTATTCGACTTACTGGAGCGTAGGTTTTGGTTTACGTCTTGGTCTAGGTGGACTGGGCTGTGGCTTTGGGTTAGGCTTCGGCTTAGGCTTCGGCTTAGGCTTAGGCTTAGGCTTAGGCTTAGGCCTTAGGCTTAGGCTTAGGCTTAGGCTTAGGCCTTAGGCTTAGGCTTCCTAAGCATCATTATTCCCGAGTTTTGCTTCTACTCGAAATTGCTGTATCTTTGAAAATACGTACCCTGAAGTTAACCCGCCTTTGGCCATTGCTTACTAAAAATTGTATTTACTTCAGACAAAGGCCAATTTCGCAGGTACTTATGGTTTTCGCTCAAAATTTCCCATGCCATGGCCGCGAAAAATTATACGGTAGCCGGAAAACCACGTTGGGCCGTTCTCTGGCCTTTCCCTCGCGAATGCCGAAACATAGATTCAAAAATTCAAGGATTTTTGAGGTCTTCTTGATTTTTTTTGTCTGTATAGTGCAGTGGTGGTAAAATAAACGGTCATTACGCCTTTTCTTTTTGGTATAGCAACCGTGAATGGGGCGCAGTAGACCGTTAAAGGGCTGCCGACGGCATGTGTTGACCCCCCCCATCAACAAATTGGCAAGTAGCCAACAGGGCAGAGCCGCCCGCCGGGGGGGGGGAGACATCTTTCCAGCGCGTCCCCGGCTGCGTGGCTGGGCACCCCTTTAAGAGATGTACTTATTCCGCTATGCAAGTAGGGGTCAAGCGGAACCCGACTTGATTTCGTAGCCACGTGTCATGTCCACTGTATACTTTCGAGTCTTTCGAATCAATTCTATGTCACATTATAATTCATTTTCAGGCAAATGCTCTGCAACAGCGATTTCCATCACTACGCCAGTACAGCGTTGGCTTTTCTCGGCATCATCTCAAATTTATTTTTGCTCTTTGTAATTTTCACCGCCCCAAGAGCCGAGATGAAGGGTAGTCGAACGATTTTGGCTATAATATCGATATACAATATTTATTTTTCCTTAGTACTCCGAATCGTAAATCCAGTAAGCGGCTATTCTATGAAAACCTGTCTTTCTAGGCCTATGTCCTCGATGATCGGGGCTTTATCCTGGTCAGCCGGGCATTCTGGCGTTACTATGACATCTCAAAATATGCGCTTGACCTGTTTGTACAGAGTTTTGGACAATCACTATCGTTATTATTAATTCACTGCTTTTATCGATACGTAAAAATTACCGGGTATGGGTACTGAAAACAGAAACTCAATCCTATTTCGGCTTTCAGAAAGTACAATTTCGTGTTCGCCACAAAGACCAGCATTTGCTGCGTGGTCATCTGGCACTTTTTCATATCATGTACGATCGAGGCTTGTCCGATGATATCTTTCGAGGTTGAGCTTTGGCTTTTAAGCGCAAGACCTGTGATTCAGCCAACCCAACTTCGGACAAATCTTTCGTATGATGAAACAAAAGCTTTATTGAATATTTCGCTTACCGAACGTGTATTTTATTATGGAGCGGTTTTTATTGTAAGTTATAGGTATTGGATTAGGCATAGGCGTTGGCTTAGGCCTCGATTGTGTTCGGCTTAGGCTTGGGCTTAGGCTTGGGCTTAGGCTTAGGCTTAAGCTTACCACCCTATAAACGATGAGATCTAGAAAAATGCACATTTTATGACCGCTAAGAATACTCGCTTCCAGTCCAAAAACGAATTTGGGGCGGAAACCCTCAACATCCATGCACTAATCGGAAGTTTCTTGGCGATGGCGGTGTGTACAGGGTTGTATGGCGGAACCTGTGCAATGGGGATGAAGCTGTGAGTTTCAGACACTTTTTCAAGCGCTCGTTTTTAGATTTTTTCACGTCAGAAACTCGCTGATCAGCGTAAACCTCAAGAAATTTCAGCTGCAACTTTTACTGTTGATTTTGGCCCAGGTGGGGCAAAGCTACAGGTTTCAGATTTGGAGAAATTTTAGGCAGTCTCCCCATTAATTTTTGAGTTTATCCCAGCGCAAATTGTGTTAATTGGAAGCACTTCCGGTATGTTTGATTACTATTTAAATTAATTGGCTATAAACGTCATTTCATCCTTTTTTTATTTTCTGTATTTAATGTAATATACTTAATACAAACAAAAAATACCTTTTAGGCTATATCCCACATGAATGGGGTCTCTGCATGCCGTTGCTCATGGCCGGCTACTCGGGATGTGATGCTATATTGGCGTTGTCGCTTTTTAGAGTATTTTCTGTCACTGAAGCACTGATCCAATCTAGGTATACCGAAAGCGAATGTTGGAGATATTCTCTTGTCGAATTTTTCCGAGAAACTACGTCATACACAGCGGGGGTATTCGAAGCAAGGATGCCCAGACTCCAGCGTCCGTGACGAAAGAATCAAGAGATTTTTTGACTTTTGGAAACGCATAATTTGTTGCAATTTTCTGACTAGGTGAAATGTGATGCTCTCTTTTTGCCCCACTCAATTCTCATCTCCCGCAAAATGTGTGAATTCGAATCTGATTTTCTCACTCCTCAAATTTAATGGTAACTTTCCAAATTGGCGCTTAACCGCCAATCTTGCATCCTTCTCAATCGCGCATTGGATTACTGTATTTCCGGCCCTCGGGCCAAGAATGTACTGATAAAATTAATCTGTTCTTATCGGCTTAATCTCCGGAACGTGTTCTATTGAACCGATCGAGAATAACATATTTTTGGAAATGGTACGGTTCGCCGAAGCTTGCTTCTCGCCGAACAGCGTCTTCCCGGTATTGCACCTACCGCCGGGAACGGCGCACATCAAAACGGGGTGAACAATATTTTAAAAAGAAAGGGCGCGAAAAACTGTATGCGGTATGTATAGTAAAAACGATACTGCAGGTCATGTGAGGTAAATCTTCCGTGGAAGGTTTGGGTGGAGTTCGCGTTCTAGGGCGGGATAGGGGTCATCAGGGTTGTTTTAAACGCTTATTTTATCGCAACAATCAAAAGAGCTTGAAAAAAACTGTGTATTAGTTTTACTTTCGAACAATTGATACAGTAGGTCATATGTGTTATATCGACCCCTGAAGGTCGAGAGGAGGTATCGAGAGCCAGGCGATAACGGGCTACCCCGGGTGCTTGGAATTGCTGAAATTACTGCAGTAATCAAAATTATGTAAGTATGCACCTAAATAAAATCCACAAATGAAATCATGTAAGTCATTTGTCAAAACGCAGATTCGGTTACAGAAATGAAAAGCCTGGAGGAATTTGATACAGTATAGCGTAACTCTATCCGTTTAATAAGAAAATACGGGTCGCAACTATTTACAAACCCAAAGTTGGTGCGGCGTTTTGATGCGCAAATCGAAGGAGGGCGTAAACATGTACATGAAAAATCGAAGTAGATAAATTTCAATAGATTTAGATATTTCGACATAATATGATTTCCGTAATTTTAGGTTTATATTTTTTTTGTCTATTCTCGCTATTATATTCCATTTCTCAAATTATTGGGTTTCCCTCATGTCTTCACTTTAAACTAGCTCTCAGTGCATCGTAGTCCATTTGTTGCTAGGCGTCTAATGTACCTCTATGCATAACAGCTTGGCTACGAGACGGCTGCTTCCTAGATGTCTTTGTTCTTGCTCTCCAGAAAAAATCTTGCAGTAAATGGGAACCCATTGCCTGTTCCTATGCGTTTTTACACTGGTTACGGTATGAAATTGCCGTTAATATCAAATTACAATTTATTCAAGGCCTGGGACGTTTCCTCTATCTATGGGGTCGACAAGCCAGCGCCGGACAACTGCACAAACGCTGCTTGCGCCCAAGCGGAGGCCGCGTATATCATCTATTTTCCGAATTTGACGAGTTGCACCTGTCTGTATAATTTGACGCAATGGAAAGACTTGGTCAACGACAATCAGACCCTCTGTCCAAGCGAGGAAGCGAAATTAAAATATGCCCCACAGACTTATCAGACAATTGTGGAGATGTGGATTCAGAAAGGATAGCTGATTATCCTTCGGCTTGCTTCCTGTTTCATGATTCTTACAGGTACTTCGCAATATGCATATACTTGTTGTTAAGAATAAAAAGCTGGCGTAAATGTCGAATGTGAATAATGTCGAATATCCTAATGTCGAAAAAATGTCTGATAAATAATATCCATGACAACTTCTCAACCATAACAATGAACCAAACGTCAACGACTTTAATGGCTTTTTAATGACAGTCCGGGTACAGTTTACAACAAGGAGCGGCAGCCGTCGTAAATCGCCATGGTGAAGCCATGCGCTTTTTAGAATAACTTGATAACGACGGCCACTCGAGTCGAGGCCCGGCATGAAGTCGTTCGGGTTTTTGGTTGCGGTGCTTCTTTTTTTCGGCTCGACGCAATGCGGACCGATTCAGAGTGGTAAGGTAATTAGAATCAAAAAATTAAAAAATTTAAAGTATTAATACGACAACATAAAATCAGAAAAAACGAATCGGATGCTTTCGGAAAAATTATTGTTCTAACTTTCGACGATGAAGCCAATCCATTTTTGAGGGCGTGCTGAAAAATTAAATTGTTAGTGCAAAGATAACTTTTCAGCAAAAACCAACCAACTCCAATCGGAACAATGTAAAGCCTGCGACTTCGTTGTCACGCTGCTACACAACCTTTGGGGCGACAAGATCCTGGAAGACTGTCTAATGGATGTAAAAATGATACAACGCTATTTTCACCCATTTTCAGTTTATCATCAAAATCTGCGAGACTTTCAATTTTGAAGACCACTTTGTTTGCCGGTTGATGGTCAAGGATTTTGAGGCATTTTTCTCCTATTTGCGGTTTGAATTTCCAGGACATTGCCATGTACGTAGTTGGGGAGGTGATCGTGGAGCCGCACGAGATTTGCGGACTTTTCTTCTCGGTGATCAAACAAGTGATTTTTTGACTTTGAGATTAGGATTGCGGAAATGTGACGAATTTCCTGTCGAGCAACTGGACAGTACCGATTCCCGGCGATGCCAAGCCGTATCAGCCACCTCCGACTCCAGCTGTAAGTAGTGAAAAAAATACACGATTTTTGCGGAAGTAAAAAAGAAAAAAGAGAGATCTGGTGAGAGAGAGAGAGTAGAAAGAGCGAGACAGAGATAGAGAGAGAGTGACTTCGTAAGAGAAAAAGCGAGCCACAATAGCTATCAAATCCTAGGCCGACAAGCCAAAGCTCAACGTGCTCCATCTGACCGACGTTCACGTCGATATGTACTACGAAGAAGGATCGGAGGCGGATTGTGGAGAGCCGCTCTGCTGCCGTGGAGATCAGAACCCAGTTGTGAGTTGAACCAGGGAGAAGACTAGCAAAGATCCTATAGGAAGTCGGCGCTTCCGCAACGACGAAAGCTCCCATCAAGCAACCGGCCGGATACTGGGGTACCGTCACGGGATGTGATATTCCTTACCGCACCTTTACGAACATGCTCGATCATATTGCGGCTAACCACAAGAATGTAAGGACCTATTTCAAGCGCTTAACTTCTCACAGATCGACTACATCCTAGTTTCCGGTGACCTTGAATCGCACGCTGATTGGGACTATACAAGGACGACGCATCAGAACATGGTAGTACAAATCGCGGGCAGCATTTTGGTGTATATCTAGGTCAAAAACATTTCCGATTCAATTCGCAGCCGTTTCCCGAACATCCCGGCTTATTTCTCGATTGGAAATCACGAGGGAGTACCGATTGATGTGTAAGTGAAACATGTAAAGCTTTAGTTAACGATGATTTAAGATTTGCGCCTCGCTTTACCCCAGAACGCTACCACATGGATTGGCTGTACGATACGATGGCCGACAGTTGGAAGGGATGGGTGCCTGCGGATCAGGATGCTAATATGCGATAGTTGGTTATTCTCCATATCTTTGCTTCCCTCCCTCTCTCTCTCCCTCTCTCTCGCTCTCTTCCTCTCTCTCTCTCTCTCTCTCAAAACATTATTTTGGGAGCTTGATAAATTCCTAGAACCTTCAGCATGGGTAGCTACGTCGTAAAACCATACCCAGGACTACGCATCATTTCTGTGAACACCCCATTGGGAGGCGATCCGGTTAATGCGTAGGTTTTAATACGATACTTCCGATCAGATTTGGAAAACGATCTGAATCTTCCTGCTTTAAACCCCCACCTTTTTTCAGCTTCCTCTACATCAACCAAACCGATCCGGATGGTACGATGTCGTGGCTGATCGCCCAGCTTTATGCTGCTGAACAGGCTGGCGATAAGGTCAGCTTAATTATACCGTGAGATTAAAGGTTGTGACAGCTTTAGGTCCATGTTACTGCCCATATTCCGGGTGGAGATAGTGAGTGTTTGGAGGGATGGGCGATAAATTACTACAAGGTGATGAATCGGTGGGTGCTCTACCTCTATCTCTCTCTCTCTCTCTCTCTCTCTCTCTCTCTCTCTCTCTCTCTTTCTCAGAAATCTCAATGCTCCAGGTTCGCTAACATCATCACCGGCCAGTTCTTCGGCCACACTCACTCCGAGCAATTCTACATGATCTATTCGGATCCGGAAGACGCAAAGTCGACCCCGACTGGTGTCATTTTCAGGTTTTTGGTAGAATCACTTAATGAAGTTGTTTCAGTGCCGGTAGCGCAACGACAATGTCAAATTTCAACCCAGTGTATCGCCTCTATACTCTGGATGGAAACTATCCCGGTTCTACATTCGTAAGCAATCTTCTGAACCGCGAAAACGATGACGGATTTAGGGAATTCTGGACTGGGAGGAGTGGTTCTTTGACCTGTCGAAGAATACGGATGCTACGAAACACGATTGGACCCAGCTGTATGCTAGTGTATTGCAGGTACGGGAGAAGATACTTGTGAAATTTTGCACATTAATAGTAAGGGTTAGAGAATGCGGAATATGTTTAGGAATATGGCCTGAAAAATAACAATCCCTCGGAGTGGAACAACCTTATTAACAGGATGAAAACGGATGGGGATCTTTTTACGAAATATCGCAAGTAAAATTTGAATATCATACTAAAAAAGTTGCTGTGTCTTTGTAACTTTTTGATACTATTTTTTTCTAGGAACTACTATCGACGCACCGATCTGGGGCCCTGCGACCAAAAATGCCGTCACAAATTACTATGCAGCGCCCGTCAGGCCCACCACTCGGAAAATTTGTGCTCTGATTTGCCTTGTAAGATAGAATAACTCTGTCTTTGAGCATTTTTTACAGCCTACGACCCATCCGACATCCAAGCCCCGTTCTACCGTAAGCCGCCCTCGCAGTACGTCCCCACCATGGCCGATTACGAACGAATCAAACATGAAGTTCGTGCCGACGACGACCAGTGCAAGCGTTGAATAAATAGATTTGACTTGGGCTATAGGGGCGAAGGCATAAAGTATCGCGAAATGGGACGTACCGTCAGGAAAAAGATTTAAAAGAAATAAAAAAGAAAAACAAAAGAAGTGAGGAAAAAAAGACCTGTGAGATCAAGGATGAGCATTTTGCCTGTTGGGACTCTTTTTTAGGCATTAGGCGTTAAGTCAGTAGCACCCAAGCACCATCCCTCTTCTGCAACTACGCTTTCCTCGTATTATCATGTTTTTGTGCTCCCACATCCTCGCTGCACCCAATATTTTCAGTTCAGTCTTCATTTCTCGAGCCGATCCATCTTCTTCCCCCACCCCACCCCAACCACTGCCACCATCTCACCCCAGGCAATTCGTCTCTGAGCCAGAGCGTGTGTGCGTGTGCGACAAGTTCCTCTGGCCTTGCCGCTCCAGATTATGATGAGTCCACCCGATTCTAGACGGGGAGGAGGAGGTGGAGGGGGGAGCTCGAGTTTTGGCGCCGCGAAATTTTGGCAGGCAGCGCCTCGGGTGAAGCTTCGTAGATTGGCGCACGAGATCAACGGACCTTCCAGCTTTTCTTTTTCGCTCGGTGGCATCCGGCTTCTTTCTCCTTCCTTTCTTCCGTCCTCTTTCGGCATGACATTCCCCCAGTCAGCGTCATTTATTTTGACGTTCCGGAACTTATCTTATTTAGCTGGGGAAGTTTCGTTACATTCCTATGCACTCTGGAGCCATTTTATTGATTAGCAGACGAAATGAGGATGGCTACGATATTTCATACGAACTCTTGAATTCCTTTATTTTTTTGCTTATACGTATTTTGCTTGCAATCATTTTAAGGAACATTGGAGGCGAAAACCATACCGGCGAGTAGCAAAAGATTGCAACACTTATCTATTCTTTTTTTTTGATTTGTTTATACTTTCTCTCATGTCCTTAACGTTTTTTCAGACGGATGTCAAGAAGCCTATTTCGGAGTTAAATTTCTACACAACCCTTATTTATTCAAAGATGCCCGACGAGGTTAGTTTTTTTCTAAATTTTCTCCTAGCCCTTTATTTCCATTCGTTTTCATTGCCTTTAACGATCTTCAGTCGCCAATACCAAATATAACGTATATACTTTTCTATAGATTCTAGCGATTCTGCCAATAAATTTGAAAAATGTCCGAATAACAGCATTTCGCCACCATCGATGATGTTCGATGTTACATTGATCCGTATTTTCAGTCCTCCTTTCGCGTATCTAGCCCCGTTAGCGATAGCATCATTAAGTTCCGCTCCCCCTTCCCGGCACTCACCAAATGAACTGTTGCTAATTGGCTAATCTTCGACAGTCATCTTTCACCCACCGTCCCGCCTTGAAGCTCCCTCTTGGCAAACGATTTGGGACGACAAATTGTGCCGGGGGTGATAGGGGTGAAAGTTGAATGGGGTAGCGAAAGCGAGAGAAACAAGGAGAGAGCGAGAGATGGGGTGAGTGGGAGAGTAATAGAGAGAGAGGGAGCAACAGACTAAAAGCGAAAGAGAGCTTTCATTAATGCCACAGTCGAGCTCAGGTTAGAAAAAGCTTCATGAACATGGCAAGCTAATCGTAACTGACAACCGATCGACCCATCTAGCTAGCTTGTTTGAGCCCTCCGGACCGAACATTCGCTGTGCCCTCTCTCGTACCTATCCTCACTTCCCATCAAGTCTCAAAAACATGAAAAATCGAAAATTTGCCTAGATCTGGATTCGGCGCATCAAGTTCCGCCAGCGCACCGAACCCGTGTTTTTTCGATTTCACGCTCCCTCGAACTTTCCAATTATACATCGACACCGGGGAAACAAGATCAAGAGGAGATCGACCTGTTTTTAGATCCGGAATCGGAATCTTAAGGACAGCAAAACAAAACAAAGAAAAACTTGTGCAAGGAAGGATGGGTTTTTCAACAACGACAAGTTGGGAACTAAAGGAACTGAGCATGTGCTATGCGACTTTGCAATGCACCAGGTGCACAACAACATAATATAGCACACCTTTTCCCTTTTTCGGTGTCACCCGCATAAACAGATGCAAACTCGCAGAAGTGGTGGTGTTTTTATGCCAAACCATATCTAAAAAGCATGCCTTCACAAAATCGTGGCGGTTATAGCATGCCTAGGTATCTACACTTACACTTAGCATCAGCGATAAAGCTCAAAGCGGTACGCTTGGAATGTAGTTTCTAAATTCTCCTTCCGTGCAGGGAAACCACTTGAACTTCGGGCCGGGCGTTCCCTACCCAAACAGCCCCCCGGGCACGATGGCGACTAATTTTCCGGTTTTGGCGTACTTGCGCTAGATTTTTGCTCTGCCGGACTGGGCAAATTTATGTTTCGAGCTTCGAGCTTGATTTGGCGCCATAAATTTTTAGAACTGCCTAGTTTCCCGTTTATGCCGTTTACTCCTTTTCCCTAAAATGATAAAAACGCCAGGAATTAAAAGTTACTCTATTATGCTGTTGACTTAGTTGCGACCTTACCACCCAATTTTTGTTTTTGGTAGGATAATTATGACTTGTAACTTTTTTGCCAAACTCCTTGCTCCCCGATGACCTCGAAGTGCTGCGGGCCAATAAGCACTCTTTGTACCTGACCAATTTTCCTCTCGACCGCCATACCATGGGCAATAGCGTCTTGTAAAGGCTTCTGGGTATTGCTTGCATTTTATAAGTCAAATAATTCATGGTTTTTGTCAATCCTATCTTGACGAGTTTGATTGCAAAAGTAAAATTATTATTGGTAGTAAACCTAGATTTCCCACGGTTCTTGGCATAATTTAATCATCCTCGACATCATACGTATTTTGCCCTTTTGTGCCAAAATATCTCTAGCTTACTCATCACAAGCCCCGAACGTACAAAGCAACCAGCTGGCTGGAACCGCTTTGTTTCAAACAGACAAAACGCGTGTAATCGTGGGGATTTTTCCCGAGATCCATACCCGCTTGTCCGCCCATTTTCGCAATCCCAAAATCTAGAAAGGAACGGACAATTTTTCAATCTCGCAACCTGTCTAGACTCTTACCCCACGGTTTTAATTATTTTTTTGTCTGTAGATCCGTATTTTTCTCTTCTAGTTCTGAAATTGAAACTTCTTTAAGGTTGCGGACCTCGACCCGGCTCCACAGGAAGTTCAGAAAGCGGGCAGTTCGACAGGGTCGGCAAGCGAAAAAGACGGCGGCTCGCTCTACGAGAATTTTGTTCAATATGCGAGGACGGGAGTCGGGGCTGGGATGCTGAATGTACTCATCGTTATACCGTTAATATTGGTGCCATGTTTTGTGATGCCGATTGCGGGTGGCGGCAGTGGAGGGCCGTCATATCAGGCAAGTTAAGATTTATGGAGCTTAAGACTAACCTAAGTCTAAGCCTAATGGAGTAGTTGAGGGGCTCCTAACTATCTTTTTAAGTGGAAAACTATAAATTAAAACAGCGCTTGATTAAACCCAGTGAAACCCCTAACAAGTCATGTGTTTCAGACGGCCCCTCCCGTCCCTGTTGCCGTGGTCCCGCAAGTTCCACCATCTCCTCCCTTCCAAATGCCCCAGTTCAACCAGAATTCTCAATTCAATCAACAACAACAACAACAGCAGCAGCAGCAACAGCAAAATCAACAACAGCAACAGCAGCAAAATCAAGAACAGCAACAGCACAATCCCGATGTGACGAAGATTCAACCGGATGCGGTGTCATTTGCCGCTTTGTTGCAACAGAGGACTCGTGGCAATGCAAATCAGCAGGTACTCCCATTAAAAAATATCCATATTTTTTTGGGCATTTAGTGCCCCTGTGTACTTCACCCCCAATCCGGGCAGTGTATCGTCTACGACTCCCGGTATCTGGCTTCGACTGTCGAAGAAGCGATGCTCTCCTTCCTCGATTTGTCGGGAGCTGTTAATGACGCGCCTATTATTGTAAATTCTGTTTTTTAATTTGCCTAATAATCAACGCTTAACTTCTTGAAATTCTTGTTTTAGAATGGTCGCACTTTCTCTTGTACCACCCAGCAATGTCTGCAATGTTTCTCTCTCCTCTACTACAAATTTAACAAGATTGGACTCGTGTCGCCAGACTATGAATTTGTTACTCGGGTAGCCTTTGCGAAAATTATACAACAGGTAAGTTTTAGGTACTCCCAAGAGGACAGCTTGACGATAGCGCCTGCCCGAGACTGGGATTTGCTAGGGAACGAAATGTAAGTCGTATTTTGTTAGGTTCCTTCTCATTAATGCGTTAATTGAATGCCTTACATACCTATGTCAGATACCTATGTGATAATGTTAGGTGAGGCCGCCGCCAACCCCACCCGGCTTTATTGCGGCTATGATTCGAGCTGGACGAGCGTTTTCTGGAACGCTAAGCTCTGTGGCTACAGCTTCCGCTGCAGCGGCTGGTGCTCATAATGGTATCAAAATACGCAGAACTAAATTATTTACCCTAACTTTAGAATTAAACCCGGGAGTTCCACATCCAGATGGCCAGCCCCGTCAGAATCAGCAGCAGCAAACGAATCTGAATTCGAATGTTCAAACGCAATTCTTCCCTAGTCAACTGCGAGCGAATGGAAGGAATTTTGTGAGTCTGCAGCATCTACTCAAAACGAGCTTTTAAAAAAATACGCATCGTGCGAGTAGCTTCATTTGTATTATTTTAGCAAAACCAATTCCCACAGCCGCAACGACAGCAGCAGCAGAATTTCCAGAATCAGATACAGCAGCTGAACGTGGGTAAAGGGAGATAGAGAAAGAGAGAGAGAGAGAGAGAGAGAGAGAGAGGGCGAGGGCGAGAGCGAGAGAGCGATAGAGAGAGAGAGAGTGAGATAAATAAAAGCTGTTTTAGACGTTCCAACAAGCCCGCCCAAACCAATTCCAGCAGCAAGCTCAGCAGAATTTTATTCAGCAGGCGACTGCATGTAGGAAATTAGGAAAATGCATCTGAAATGGTTATTCTAGTCAACAATGGGCGAGGAGGTTTCCAGAATCAGCAGCAATTTGGCAATGGGCTAAATTCAGGGTGGAATAATCTTCAACAGAACTCCGGATGGAATGGTGGACAAGGTGAGGCATCTGGTCTCTCTCTCTCTCTCTCTCTCTCTCTCTCTCTCTCTTTCTCTCTCTCGTGTTTAACAACCTTTAAAGGTGCCTGGAACCAAGGCAACAATTGGGCCAACCCTGGACAAAACGGCGGCTGGAATACCGGAAGAGGCCAAGGTCAATGGCCATGGGTAAGCCGAACCTTTCTCGCTTCTATTTATGTTCCGCACGCTTATTTCAGTTTGACCAATCAGTTTCCAACAACTATCTGGTAAGAGCTTTTGCTGCAGTTGGTCACTAACTTTCTGGCAGGAGGCTAACACTGCAAAATAGCCCGCACCTTTTGATCGATTTTCGAACTTTTCACAGCCTTTCGAAGATTTTTGCATTCAAAAGCGAGCCGGTGCCATAATTTTACTTATCTTTCATGTTGTCTTTGTGCTGAATTTGCCGTGGCACCGGAAAAACTACAAATGCAAAGAAAGACCCATTTTTTACAGGTCCCGCCCCAGCCTGCCCAACCTGTGGTCCAACCTGAACCTCAACCTTCTTGGGGCTGGAATGGAGGTAATTCGAATGGGAATAGCGGATCCGGAAGTGGTGGATCCGGAGCAGGAGGAGGAGGAGGAGGCCTTGGACTGGGTTGGGGATGGGGCGGCAATGGATGGGGCGGAAGCGGTGGGTAAGCACTGGCATCATGCCAAAAATTCTTCAGTTCGAGCTATCGCCTCCTCAGTTCCGCTTCGTCAAAGAATTTTGTTATTCGTTAACGGCCTTGGTTAATGCATATATTTCTGTTGAAATATATTTTTCGAAAGCTATTTTAGTTTATAAAAAAATTTCGTTCTAGGCGGATTCAATGGTGGTGGTGGCAGTGGTGGCGGAAATGATGATGATCACCATTTGACGATTGTGCTGCCGTTTAAAGATGGTAAGATGATACATAAAAAAAAATTAATGACGTAATTTAGCAAAGCAAAAACGCCAGACACAGTCTGATGTCAGATTAGGAGAACGTTTCGATATCCACTGCTCAAAGAAGGGAGAGAATCCAGATGATGATGGGATGTTGTCACTATGTGTGTTAAAAGCGAACAAGTCTGATCTTTCTCTCTCTCTCTCTCTCTCTCTCTCTCTCTCTCTCTCTCTTCGCTTTCTAGCTAGATCTTCCTAAAGAATCCCTGCTAGTCTCATTTTAGGCGGTTCCTGCTGGAGCATCCGAAAACTCCCAGCCGATTACTTCCCCAGATACGTCAACGAACGAAACTGTAATAGTGACGATTTCTGCTTATCAGGTGATATATTACGTCAAAACCCGTGGATGACGCACAATCATTGTTTGCGGAAAGCCAGACCGGGTGACAACTGTTTGGCAGAGTCTAGCGGTTGATTCGCGTTACGGTCAAGCGTCAGCGAAGCTTAACGACCGCGATTATGCAAATTGGGGCGACGGTCGTCCACTACCAATTTTTCCGCGGGGGGCATCGGAGATTCTCGCAAAAGTTCAAAACACTAGGATTAATTTCGAATGTTTCACGCGTTAGAGAGATAGGCAAAGAACCGGGAACTAGGGAGGAAATAATTGAACTTTACGGATTTCCGAGCTTTCAGCAACTCTAGTTTTTGTAAAGTTTTGTTTTGTTTTTAGCAATGCTAAGCGAACATTTTGGGGAAAGCTTCTACTATTTGGGTAGAAAAATTGCAACTTCCAGTGTATAGGCTTACTATTTAAGCTCAGGTTTCTGCGTAGGCTTGGGTTCAGGCGTTGGCTTACGCTCAGTATTACGCTGAAACGACATTGCAAACTTACTAATGTATGCTTCCAGGCTGGGGAACTTGTTCTCCTTCCCATCGACCAGTCGAAGTGCTCCACCTCGTCAACGGCGAGCACAAGCCGGCCACGATCAATACGGTACAATGTTGTGATTGTAAGGTGAAGCCCGGTTCGAATATCCACGCTCTTGTCGTTGGCTAATTACGGAAAGCCTATCTTTTCTGATTCTTCATAGTCATCGTCTACTATTCATGATTTCCACGGCAATACGGGCTCCACCGAACTATTTTTCAACCCATAACAAGTTTTTTGAACCTTTGGTTTGTGCATTTCCACATTGGTGCCTTGATTCCTCGCCAATATTCCTGCTGTTAAAATGGCTAATATTATTATTATGGCCCCAGCGTCGGTTGAATAAACAGTGATTATGCAAATTGGGTATTTTTTGGCTTTGGGGTTCTGGGTTGGCGTTCATGTGATGGGTGCCATTGACGAACATGATGGGAGGGGAGGGTTCATGTGATATCATTTCTCGCCATTTTTTTGGCAGTTGTCCAATGAGGAGAACGGAGGGGGGTTGTTGACGTACAACCCATGCAAAGTAATAAAAATATCCATTTTAAAAACGTTTTTCTGATCTAAATTGAAATATGGTTACCGTTACCTACAGAGAAGTCGAAAGAGAGGGTTATATTTAGGTAGGCGAAGACCGTGCGAGAGAGAGAGAGCGATAGAGAGAGTATGAGTGAGAGAGCGCGAGAGATTAAGATTCAGCAGGTTTAACCACGAAAAAGGTTGAGATTTCATAAGTTCTTAATGTTTACTCGTTTTTCGAGGTATGCCGTTTTTTAATAATAGAAAAAGGAGTGTAAAAATAGAAAATAGAGCATATCGGAAACGTCCTCAATTTTTTGTTTAACATTTTTGGCATTTCCAAAAGTGGGGAATGCAAATCCAGATCAGGCGTCTCTCATCCTTGTGTCTGTTTGTAAAGGCGTTTTAAGGTGAGTTTCTATTTTTCTATAGTTTTTCCAGCAGTTTAAAAACTTCTTTACAAGTTTCTACGGTCAATCTATGGCAGAATATCCTGGGCTCCCAGTCCTGTCCAAACCGCTTAATTAGCCTCCCCATTCCTAAAATACCCCGCATCCCACATCTGGCTGACCCCCTCGTGCCAGACGGTTGATATGGATCTGGCCATCAATTGATCTGATATGCAGAGAGAGGAGGTGTGGGGGTTGACCGCGACGCGACCGTCCTCTCCACGATCTGTCCCCCCAGCAATCGTCCCTCCCCTTTCCCGTGTCTCATATGCATAATCGCCAGTCCGGTATATAGCACAAGCATTCCACACCCCGCCTCACATCCAAAAGGCAAGCCGTCTGGTCTGCCCGTAAAACACACCTAGTTTCCTTCTCCACTTCGTCCTCGTTGACGAGCAACCCTCTGCAGTACTTTCAGGTAGGTCATGTGGCTTATTTCATCGGTTTTTCTACCGTAACCAAGACCAATTTTATGCGTTTGCTGCTATCTACTTCTGAATTTTTCTTACAAGTGGAAATTCGATACCTTTATTTCGAAACATTTTGGCGCAAGCTACAGTAGCTGTAAAAGCTAGCTAAATGCATCAAGTGCTTTTATATTCGATTTATTTCATCGTCCATGGTTTTTTTATTTTTGGCCAAAAATTAAAGTTCGTCATGTGACTTATTTTACAATCCTTTTACAGTAATCTATGCCGATTTTAAGAATATCATTGCGAGCGTTTATCCCCTTACCAAAACCGGCTTTTATTAGCCCCTTATCCCTTTGCTTAAAATCCAAAAATCGATACCCTGGCTTTACGACCATTTTTGAGGGCAAAATTGAAAATGGCTTTTCTAATTTTTTAGGTCCTTACAAATGGTTTCATATGACCATCGTTTTTTCAGGTTGGCTCCCCTACGCGTCTTTGCCGGCGAGTTCCCCACCAACTGCGACGAATACGGCTAGAGAATAGCCGGCCGGCCCTCCTCCCGAAGCGAGTGGAGAGGCCGCTTTTTTGTTCACGTTGATCGCCCTTAATTGAAAGTAAGTAGTCTTCGGATCGGAACTATCTCTCTGACTCATTCACTATCTCGCTCTCTTTCTCCAACTCCAATTACCATTTTTCAGCTGTGACCCAGCCATGGCCACCGTGGCATGCGGAGTCGGAGCGGCCATTGGTGCCGGCGTAGCCCTGGTGCTAGCCCTGCCAGCCTACGCACTCAAGGTATCGTATTAAAAATACAACATAGTTTTGGCCGACTTTAATATATATTTATGTTACGCCTTCTTAAATTCATAACCGTAGCTCAAGCCTTTATAGGAAGTCTATGAAGGACGCGCCAAGTCTAACATCAAGCGCCACCTGCGTCGCGGACGCAAGTGCCGTAAGTTTTAATAATTAAAGAGAGAGAGAGAGAAAGAGAGAGGGAGAGAGAGAGAGAGAGAGAGAGAGGGAAAGAAAGAAAGAAAGAGAGCGATAGCTAGCGATAGAAATGGATCGAACGATCAACTGTAGCTGATCAATAACCCCTTCCAGGCATCAACTTTGGCGACATGGACATGCCCGTGATTATCGACACAAAGATTGTCGGCTGCGAGCCGCCGGCCTACGGTGAGCTGTTCGACCGTCAGGCAACCCCGCCGCCCCCGTACGATCCGAAGGCGGCCGCCGAGCAGATGAAGATCAAGCTCGGCGAGTACGCCGCTCCACCCCCTCCACCCCTCAAATCTGCGCTCAAAAAGCGGAACTAGGACGTGTAATGTGTAATATCATGGAATATTTGTCTTAATAAGTTAATGAGTAACGAAGAATATTAATTCCGGAATTTCCGGAATTTTAAACCTATTTTATGAATTATACCTTTCAAACTTAATATTATAGCGCTGTTAGTATTTCTTTGTCGATCCTTTACATTGTAATTTTATCCTTTCGTTTATGAGCATTATTTATTCTTTTTGATCCTATATTATCTTTCTCCTTTTGCACTTTGTCTTTTTGAGCAATACCATCCTCGATTTGTGTATGTGGGTGTTTGGGGCGCAACTCCGCAAAACTCCAATTTTCCCTGGGCGGCAAAATGTTTCTCCGGAATCAGCAGACCATCTTCGCCTTGGCCATCAAGCTGTGATAAATCTGAATTCGATCGAATTTTGTGATTTTTCAGGGGAGACACATTTTGCCACCCTCTTTTTTTCCGCGTCACCATGCTGGGTGTCAGCTTTTTTTTTGGCTTCTGGATAGCTATGGAATTTTTTCAGTCGCTGAGCCTTGGCCGGGCGATGTGACTTGTTGTAAAGAAGTTTTGTTAATAAAGAAATCGTAGAAAAAAAAAATGGAAAATGCGTCAAACGAGCCCGAAATACTATACTTTGCACCACTAAAAATATGAAGATCTACATTAAACCAGAAACAATAGACTCGGTCAAACTGGATAAAATTAAGATACATAAAGAATTATGATGGTCTATGAGAATTTATATTGAGAGTAAAAAAGCAGGGATTGCATCTTTACCCCTCCTTAACGTGATGGAAATTGCTTTATATAAACCAAATAATTTGATCAATAAGTTAAAATGAATTATTGAGATTTTTTTATGTCCTGAAGATTGTAGACATTTTTTTGAAGAAGTCCTTTTACACAGTGGAAATACGGTAATTCATATTTTATAGACTTCATAGTTGCACGTTAGATTATTAGAAAAGCTCCAATTGACGAAAACGGGCTCAACGAGCCTTTTCCTACACTCCGTTCCTTGACAATATCACCAGAACCAACAATAACAGGGCAGAAACCTAGAGGAGGATTGAGGACACGCAAGTCCCAGGCCCGTAAACATCCCTGTTTACTGATGCCGGCACCCGCCCTCCCCGGCCTCGTGCCGTTTCCATTCTGTTTTCTGCAGGAACGTATTTATAGGAGTTCCCCCTGCTTGTGAATTGATTTTGGCTTTAAAATCTTAGTAATTTCCCTATTTTCCAGTTTTTTCGGTTCTCAAGCAATTACTGGCTAGCAATGAGCAGAACCTTGAATTTCTAGATAATATTATCTGAAATTCCTTTTTCCAGAACTCTCATATTTCTTATTACCTTTCTGGATACCTTAAAATCACACATTGTTTAGAAAATACATACGCAAAATGGCCCTACGCGCAAGCCGTGCATCCCTGGCTCGGTGAGTCGATTTTTCGGTCCATCTTTTGGAGCATTTCGTAACCTCCCTTGCATCACATGCCCTCATGTTTTCCTGGTTGCACAACTGCCACAGCTCTGGTGTTCGCTATCTCGAAACATTGTTTTAGCAGCGGAACCATAATCAGTTTTCTGCTAAAAGAAATAAGTGATTCATTTTTAGTTTCACCTCCGTTAAGATGCAAATGGGAGAGCCGGGCTCGGGACTGAGCAGGGTGAGCTTTTAATTTTTTAACCATTTTATTTTGTCCAAATTTAAACATATTAAGAGTAAACCAGGGTTGAAAAGCCGCTTCGCGACTTTTCAACCCTGGCCCCGTCTGATCCCCATGATATTCTTCCCTTTGCATAATTCACGCGATTTTCGATGACGAAAAATGAGAAACGCGACCTCTCTTCTCTTATATAGGCTATTGAAACTTCCGGCGTATGCTAATTGTTTCTTAACAAAGAGGGTTCTCGATTTTTCAACAAAAAACTTAATTTTAACATCGAAAACACCGAATTTTTCAAAATTTTATGAGTGTGCAGTCATCCTACGGCCATTACGCACCTAATGAGGTATAAAACATACCCCTAACAGCCCCCCCTTATTGAGATACTGCTGGAACACGCTGACGGAAGTTGTATGCAAAGTGGCACACACACACACACACAGACACTATTTTTTTTATATATAGTAGGATATAGTAGGATGCCTTTTGCAGGGAGGTGGTGGCGGAGGTTCGATCCGTGATGCCGGAGGAGCGTTCGGAAAGCTTGAGGCCGCCAGGGAGGGCGAGTATTTCCATAAGCTGCAGGAGAAGCAAATTGCTGAAATGAAGAAGCAGCTTCAGCACGAAGTGGGTTTTATTTATCGTTTTCTCTCTCTCAAAAGGAAAGTAATTATCGTAATTTAGATCCAATTCTCGGAAGCCGAAGTCATACGCCAGCGCCAACACCTTGAAGCTAGCCGAGCGGTAATTTTATGATTTCTTACGATTAGCTAATTTTTTAGCGCCTCGCCGAGCTCGAGCATTATGCCCGGAACAAGCTGAGAAAATCGTCGAATGATTTGAATTTTCGGTGTCCGCAGTATTGATTTTTTCATTTCTGGTCCGTTTTACGGTTAGCTTTTCTTGACGAACGCAAATTTTCTGTAGCGCTTCAGTTTAGTAGAAAAATTACGCCATGTAAACGCATAAATTTATCCAAAAATGTACGCAAATAGGAAATGCGAATACCTTATCGTCACATATAAATCGTATCAAAATAATAGGCATAGATCTGTCAAAAGGTGATGCTAGATATTGCCACGCTAAACAAAACGGCTAAAAAATCCTGGGAATCGGGATAAGGGGGTTGGCAGGGTGCCAGCAGATTGGGGAAGCATGAGATAACATCCAAATGCGTTTAATAAAATGCATCAAAATAGTGGAATTACGAAAGCCAAACCCGCAAATTCATGGGATCGATTCACGGCAATTGGGAGGGGATTAGGAGAATTAGATCAAAACCGGAAACCAGGGATTTTTTGGTGGATTTTTGTCAAGGGGTATTTTTAGAAAAAAAGTGTTATCAGGAGCAATGGTCGGACTGGGGAGGGCAATATGATACATACAATGTTATAACGTGAAAAGTCAAATACGCAAATAGCATGGGAAAATGTGGAAAAGCAATAAATACACGGCAAGTGAGACTGGGCGGGCAGATTTTAAGGTTATTAGAAGCCGAGAAAATGACTGGCATTTTTGCATAGGCTTAGGCAAATGCTTAGGCTTAGGCTTGGGTTTAGGCTTAAGTCTTCAAAAACCATCTATTCTCTCGGTTTTTCAATAAAAACATACGAAACTAACACAAGCACGCGAGGCGTTTAAACCTAACCAACTGGGAATTGGGCACCTCATCGTCATCGTCATCCCAAAAGTCGACGTCTTCCCGTTTCCGGGGACTAGCTTCTCCGGAAGGGACACGCGCGGATGAAGCAGTTCTGTCGCTCGTAGGCCTCTCCGCCGCACGCTCCGCTACCGTAGCACTTTCGGACCCGTTTCCGGACACCGTAACCGCATGTCTCCGAACACGCCGACCAGTAGCCCCAGCCTGGAAAAGTGAGAATTGCACGGTAATCAGAGATTTTTGGAAGGTTACGGTCACCGGAGGCTAAAACAAGCAAAGTAAATAATTTTAATGGTTTCACTTTCCTTTTTGGATACAAAAATCTGGTAGTTTTAAGTCCCAAAAATTCTGCAATAACGTAATAGCATGAAAAGCTTTAAATTAAACTGAATTTGACCGATGTCCATAACCTTCCATTCCACACCAAATTCCGCAACCTCAGAAACCATTAGATTTTCTCTGGAACTTAAATTCAGAAATAGGGAGACAGTATTTTCGGGGATTTTCTAACACTATGACACACGCTTCGGCAACCTGCAGGGCCACTCGGAATTACCCTAGCGCGCCCAAAGAAATAGACGGCAGCATCGGCAGCGAGTTGGTTAGTTTGAGGGGATTTCGTGGTTGGACCGGAGAGCGGATCCCCGGTCAATTCCGGGAACTCCGACTCCGAGATGCGGTAGAGTTCATTGTCTTTTGGGACGAGGGCTTGGATACGGCCGGTCCGTTTTGTTATTCTTTTGATTAGGCGGTCAATGCCGGTTTGTTTTTGGGTTTCGTCGTCTTCTTCCTCACCTCCCCATGCCGCGTTGTGCGCCTCGCACTCTTGCTCGTTGCAGATGGCCGATTCCTGAAAGCTCAATGATGTACAAAGCCAACCAATCGCAGCTTCTGAACGCCTTGAAAAGCCTGCGCTCGCTATTGCGTAGATTTCCGAGTCGGAGTAAAACGTACTTTGTAGCTGCCCGGGCAGTTGCCCGTCCTACAGTATCTCGTCCTCCTCTTAACACCCGCGCCGCATGCGACCGAGCACGAGCCCCACGCCGACCATTCCGACCAGTCGCCTGAAATTGGGGAAATTACGATATGTCTCAAAGGATCTTTGCTAACTGGCCTACCAACAGAGATACTTTTGAGTTTTCTAAAAGCTGGAGATCCTGAAGAATCTCTTCTAGCTGGCCTCCAGCATATTTTTTTGGTTGATGGTGATTTGCTCAATATTTAACGATGGACTCCTCAAGAATCCCTGCTAGCTTTTCCTGGCTTACTGGAAGTTTTAGAGTAAGCTAATTAAGTTTAAAAACTTCCTTGACCCGTTTTAGGCGCTTTTCTAGCTAAACCATGGCTCCCATCTCTTTAACGACCCTGTGTTGATCCGGAAAATCTCTGCAATCACTACCGCACCCATAAAAGTCGATCCCCCACCCCCAGGCGGGAGAGACCGAGCGGCTCCCCTTCCCCTACTCCCGCCCGACCCCATTTCCGGATCAAATTTGTCATTAGCGCAGCGCACCGGGGGCACGCCTGACAGTGAAATGGGGGAGGAGGAGGTGTTGCGGCTTTTTGAGGAGGAACCCGAGATTCCGGGCGGTGAGCAGTAACCTGGTCGAGGGGGCGCGCTTTAGAAATTGATTACAGTTGCGGGGTGCAAGAGGCGCAGAGCTGGGCCGATGTGCGGATCGGAAAGGACACATCCGGCACACCCTACGCGTGACTTTTTGGAAATTTGAAGTCGAAACGGGAGGGGGGGCGTAGAGTGTAATTTGGAAATCAGGGTCAATTGTTGGGAATCGGATCGATTGCCGGGGAACGAAGAGAAAGGCTTGGACTGAGGCTTAGGCTTAGGCTTGGCCTTATCCTTAGGCTTAAGCTTAGGCTTAGGCTTTGGCTTAGGCTTAGGCTTAGGTTTAGGATTAGGTTTGGTCCTATGGATAACTTAGGGCTTATTTTGTTTCAAAGCAATCGGTAAATCGATAAATTTCTTTACCTTCGCTGGGATCCTGTGCACACTCTTGCTCGTTGCAGAACTCCTGCTCCCGGCTTTGACCCGGGCAATCCTGGCCCCCTGTGCACGACCTGGAAGGCTGAACATGGGCACCGGGTGTCGAACGTTTGGTTCCGTATCGCTACCCGGTGATGGCCCGATCCCATGGGGGGAGCTGGTTACGGTATCGAGATCAGATTATCTACGCTTAGGTAACCTTCGGCATAGGCGAAAACTTAGGCTTACGCCCAGCTTACCCTGTGTCCTTGGTGAATATAATTTTTCAGCTGTCCAGCTCCCCCCATGGTTTCAGTGCTGCCTTTTACGCTTTTCCATTTTTTTTTAGCAAATTTGATCATTACGTTTTCCACCTCACCATGCCTATAAAAACCCACAAAAATGGAAATACCACATGCCGAAACCCACATAAAATGTTAGCAACAACCGCAACTTTCACACTCCAAGCAAAAACATTCAAATGGTTAGCATCCGTCAAACCGCGTTTTTAGCAGCACCCAAAAACCCACAGAAAATGGCACGCAAAACTTGGTACGTTTAGACGAGAGCCAGAGAGCATAATTCTAGGAAAAGGCAAACGCAGAGTTTTTATAGTGTTAGGCAAAGAAGCAAATTCTAGGCGTGATTTTTTTGGTTTTCCTGAAATTATGCTGATTCCAAAAAAAGGTGAAGGCACACACTGAATGATCGGACCATCAACGGCACCATGGAGAACGTGTAAAGCCACACGACAACCCTCGAAAATGATTTCAAAGAATTTTGAATTTGGTGCAGCAACGCCAAACATGGACATGCGAAAATATACGAAAACAACTCCATGCAACAAACGCCGGGTACGAGTGTGGATTTCGGAAGCCAAAAAAAGTGGGGCCGTGCTGGTGCTCCTCTCCTACCGTGTCCGGGTTTTGAGTCCCCGTCCGCAGAGTCTGCTACAGTTGGACCATTCGGACCAGCCGGTCCATCGGGACGTCGATATTTGGGAGCAGGTTGCGGCGTTGCAGGATCGACGTTCCGTTGCGGAGCCGTCGCATGGTTCCTAGAAAAGCGAGAGATTAGAGAGAGATAGATGGAGAGAGAGAGAGAAAGATAGAGACGCTCAACAAGCCTACGTTACGCTCCTCCTTGCACCACTTACCCTCTGGCACTCCCTCTGCCTAATCATCGTTCCAGGCCCACAACTCGTCGAGCATCCAGACCAGCCGGACCATGTGGCCCACACTCCAACTCCCGAGCAAGGTCCAGCCTCACAGTTCCGCACCTCGATGTTCTTCTCTAAAACGCACTAATATAGTCTACCTGGAAACAGATACATCACAGCACCGGACACGCATTTTCACAAGCACACGGGGGTACTCGAGATACCGGAGACATGCGGGGTTTAAAGAGATTGGCACGTTCTGGAGATTTTTTTAGCGAAATCTTGAAGCTAGTAGATGACTTTCCAATCCCTTTAAATGTTGTGCAATTGGGATTGAACATATTTTGAAGTGTTTTGGTCTAAAACTCACCTTGAACGTATTCATCCTTTATCTGGCCTAGAGAAATGAGGGAAATAAGGAGGGCATATCACTAATTCACGCTCTCTAAAGGCATAACCGATAGATAGAATTCTTGACTCTATAAATTCGCACTACACTACAGTACTCTGGACACCCTTCTGCAATCTCTAATGCTGGTTTGACTACACGATAGTGCTCTGGACACTCGGCTACAAGGTGCCTGAACGACATTCAACGCAGAATAAGGTACTGTGCTACACTACTATACTCTCAACACTTCACTATTGGCTAACTCGTCCGCTTAACAACACGGCACCTATAAGACTACGGTAGCCACCTTTAAAGTACGTATTTCGGATCGTCTTGTGGAGAGAGCGAGCTTTGTGGGAGGCCGATTTGGATTCTGTCAAATTGATTTTGTTTATTTTCGTTCTTGCAAATCTTTGAAGACCGTTTGGCTCCGATTTCCTGAGCCACTGGCACAAAGCCGTTTTTTAAAGTACAAGCCAGCACTCAAAAATCGTTTAATACATACCTGGGCAGTTGAATGCGATGTTCCCCTGCGGGGACACGCATTTCCGGTACCGAGCCTGCGAGCCCCGGCCGCAGGACACTGAGCACGAGTTCCATTCGGTCCAGCCGGCCCAGCTGGACACGGTGGAGGTAATTCGGGGGCAAGCCTGAAGTAGAAAATCTTGGAAAATTCTGAGCCCATTTTTGCCAGTCCCAAACTACACTCTCCCCGGTATCAACCTGCTGATCCGCATCAACACTATCAAAGTTTCCTGCCCGACACTACTGCAGTGGTTTTTACAGCTTTCGCCTACTCTCGCTTTTCCCCGGATAACCCGAGAAGCTCTTCAAAGTTTTAATGGGTGGCTGGAGCTGACCTCGGTGGAGCACGTTTCCTGCTCGCTGTCCGTCCCCGAGCAGAATCCCGGCCTTGAACATGCCCGTGATCTGAAAGAGTATGTAAAGTGGCGAAATCAGGGAGTTGGTCGAATGGTCGGAGGGGTTTTGACGTCATCTCGAGAGGTAAGCGCTAATACTAATCCGCCTGTCACCATGCGCTCGAAAAAATACTATCTCTTACCGAGTACGGTAACCTCCTCCGCACGACACCGAGCACTGCGACCATTGACTCCACGTGGTCCAGGCTCCGGATTGAGGAGCTTGGGTTGGAGGTTGTCTGAAATGATAAAGTTAAACGGCCCTTAAAAAATTTATACCGGATCGCGCAGGATTCAGATGGGCACGGCAAGTCGCGACCGATGATGGCGCGGTTGTCGCAGGATAGGGACTAAAAATCTTGCTTTCGGAAGGCTTGGATTCATCTCTCCTGCTCTCTCTCACTTTTTCTAACACACACTCTCTCTCTCTCTCTCTCTAACTTACCAAGCACTCTCCTCCCAAGCAATATTTATCATTTCCACAGCTGGTTCCATCGGGAAGGTTATCGCCAAAGAATCGATAATTCCGGATTCCACCTCGCGTGATGGTATCGCAGAATACCTTAAGAATATTTAGTTCTTTCAGGTATGAAGAAATGCCTACCTTGCAAGCCCTCTGCGGGTATCTGGTCAATTGACTTCCCATTCCAGTCAGGTCGCGATCGTTCTTCAGCCGCTTATGTTGGGTGCATTTTTCTTCAATGTACTGAAACATTTGGTTATCAATCATTAGCCTTTTCATACCCTATCGACACTTTTCGACGACGTCGAGCAGCTCATATCGCAAACGATAGCTCGCTGAGAAGATCCGGTACATTCCGAGCCGCCATTGGCAGGATATGGATTCGAGCAGGTGCGCTTGGAGATGGCGACACCAATTCCTGAATCTGTTCTTCTACCCCAGTGTAATTTTTTCTTACCGCCAGCTAACGGAGAACAGTAGCACTGGTTGCAGTTGGTACCAGACCAGCCGGACCACGAGCCGTCTTGGCGCTGTAAAATTTGGCGTAAAGTTCGATGATTACCAGAGAATCGTAGAAATGACCCGGCAACTAGCAGAGATCTTTGGGGATAAAAACAGGTTTGTGCTGAACGTACCGAAGGTGATGAAGGAACAGCAGGAGCAGACTGCTGAGGAGCGGGTTGGCGATCTTGCCCATTCCAGGGTACGCATCGTCCCAGACTACACCATTTGCTGGGGCCACAGAAGGTGCCTTCGAGTGCTGGATGCGAAGTGATGATTCTGAAGGGGTCATCAGAATCTGAGGAACACTGCGTTACCTTCCGAATTGCGACTGTCCGCACCACATCATGTAACAGATGCCGTCGTAGTGGTCGACGCGGGGGGTGACCTGAAAAATAGATTACCGTACGAGAAACTTTTTAGTTTTGACCATTTAAACGTGTTGGGTAAGTCTCAACATCAACCCGGGTGCTTGGCTAGGTCTGGACAGCTTCAAACTATACCAAAATACGCTAAAGTTGGGCTGATCTGGTTAACCTTTTGGAGTGTAGCGTAGTTGCCGAAACCTAATCGACCACAACGGCCGATTTAGGCACTTCCCATTTTAGGCACCTTTGAAATACTTATTAAAATGAGACCCGAGTCGATGCAGGGGCCGATTTGACGCTTTCTAGCCCTCGCCTAGCCTATCTTAGGCAATCGCCTAGCTTTCGCAGCCTAGTCGACGATGCGCCGGTGCCCGCTTCGCAGTCCCTTTGAGACCCTGATATCCCACGGGTTCCCTAAGTTCGCAACCCCCAATGTCCATCTCCACCTCCTCCCCCGACCCTCAAAAATTGATACAGCCCTCCTCCTCTTCCTTTTTTTCCAGGTTCCTCCACCCGCCTGTCCAACCTTTTTCAACGTCTCGCGTCCCCCGCGGCCGCCCCGCAGTCATTTCCAATCTTTGGGAAAATAGGTTTTCCCAGCGCGACCGGTTTTCGCCGGGTTGTCTCTCATGTCGACGCCTACTTCACCCCAAAAACAGGTGCACAGAATATAGGCGATTCCCCTTCGCGGCGATCTTCGGAAAAAGGCGTCGAGCCTAATGAAATTTTGAGTTGAATCCGGGGCAGCGCGGGTGGAAATGGATGGGGTGGATGTTTTGTGAAGGTCCGGGTTTGTAGTATTTCGGATAAAAAGAAAGTGAAACTACACTCTAGGTCCCAGAAAAAGCTCAAAATGGATCAAAATTTGAAAGCTCATGATCACCTGATGGTACCCTGGTCCGTGCATCAGCTCGCATTGAAGGTTGGCATCGTAGATCTGGCCGGGTTTGGAGCCGACAGGGATCGACAGCTTGGCCGGCATGTTCGAGATGCGCATACAGTTCTTGCCGCGACCACTGGAATAAATTAGATAAATGTTGCCCATGTCTTTCTTTTTTTACTTCTTTTCCATGCCCTGTGATATCATTCGTCCCCTTTAATGTCTTTCCGATAGAAAGCAGGACGAGAAAACGAGAGAGGAAGGGAGAGAGAGCGAGAGAAAGCGAGAGAAAGATATCGAGAAAGACAGAGAGACAGAGAGAGTGAGTGACGGAGATAATTCGAATAAATATTTGTTTACTTCTTTCCGATACCTTGAGATTGTTCACTAACTTCCAAAGCAAGCTAACAAGGAGACGTTTTTTGGTGTGAATGGAGTTCTGAGTGGAAACCAGGCCTATTTTGTGCAGAATTTTGCGCTGATTCCGAATATGTTTTCCATTTCTGCTAAATAGATCGATTTCAAATGTTATAACAATTTTAAGATCATTTTAGCCCAAATTTTCCCCTCTTTAGGGACCATTATATTGCTTTTCCCGGCTGTTTTTTCAAAAATAAATATCGTCACCGTATTCTGTAAAATTTTCTCTATCGAATGAGCTATTTAACTCGAAATTGTTGAAAATCGAAAAAATCGGCGATACTTGGTATGGGCTGCGATTTTTGTATGGGAAATGGTGAAAAACAGCCTATTTCTCACCCCTGTAAGCCATCGTCGATCGGTAATAGCGCACTAATCAAATATACCATTCGAATCAGAAAAAAATTCTCTACAAGATAGGCTACTTAAACAAAATTAAAACGTGATAACAAAAAAGTAGCACAGCATAGCATATGGCTACTCTGGGCCCAAAAATTACCTTAAAATAGCTGTAACTTTTTAAATCGAGCATTTAGCAAAATTGGAAAACAGCATCGGAATCAGCGCAAAATTCTGTACAAAATAGGCCTGGTTTCAACTTAAAACTCCATTCACACTAAAAAACGTCTCCTTGTAAGACGATTTACCCGGCCCCAAATAATCCAATGTTGCCCCTCACCCCCCAGGATCAGCACCCATCCTCCTCCACCTAGCACCACCACGATTTCGGCAGGGATCCCTGATTCCAGATCCGAGGTTTCGAACACAAAGTAGCCTTTTCCCTCATTCCCCCTTTTCTTTATGCTGACCATTGCACCGGAAACGGGTATCCCATTTGAGCGCGAGGAGCTCTTGCTCCCCCGACTTCTCGGCGGGAGATATGGCCTTCTCCACCGGCGGGTCGCTATCATTTAGGGGGCCTTGCTATCTCTGGCTTCTCTAGATCTGGGTGTTCTATCCGGCGTGTAGGCGCCAGCCTGTCGCGCGCACAAGCCACAACACTAGCGCCCCTCACGGCGCCGGGGAGCTCGAGAAAAAACATGGTTCTATCAAGTGATGATGGTCCATTTTTGGGTTGAGGCTTAGCGAGGTGATGAGGGGAAGGAAACTCACGTATGCTAATGGGGTTTGGTGTAGTTTGGAGGCGTATGCTTCAGAGATAAGATGTATGACCCAAGAATGGGCTTAGGCTTCGGATTTGGATTTGGCTTACGCTTAAATTAAAGTATAGGTTTAAGTTTAGGCTTAAGCACAGGCTTGTGATTAGGGATAGGCTAGGCTTCGGTGAAGTTTAATCTTAATTTTGCGAGTAGGCTTCAGCTTGGTTTTATGCCTAGGCTTGCCCTTACAATAAAGACTTGGGCTTCGCGTTGGGAATTGGCGCCGTAAGCGGTTTTACCTAATTTTAAAGAGACTGTCAAGGCAATAAACAATTTCAGACCACGAACTACAGCAGTGCGCTGCAACCCCGCCAACCTATTTGTTGCGGTTCTCCTAATTTCCAAATTCGCACCCCTTCCCCTTGCTCATTTCACATTATTTCACCGCTGGCTAACTTTGATGGAACGGTTCGCGCGCGGATGGGCCCGGCTAACCGGTTACACTGACTCTACCCCCGGGAAGGAACTGGGGTACAAGCCAATTCCATGCGACCCGTCAGAAAAAAAACGAAGTGGGAATTGTGGGAGAGACTCGTAATTCTTGGGGCAGATAATTGGCACGCCGGGGCGTTTATGAGTTGCGGGGTTCAGGGTTGGGTTGTTCAGATTTCGGAAATGGGAAAGTCGGGAAGTGAAAGAAAACATTATTGGGTGGAATAGCCGACTTCGGGCCCCAGATGGAGCTTGAAAAGAGAGGGGAAAAGAGCAAGAGAGCCCGAGAGTGAGAGAGAGAGAGAGGGAGTGGGAGAAATCTAGTGAAAAACGTTAGATGAAACGAAAAACGACAAATTAACGATAAAACCCACTCAAGACGCTGCAAAAACTGGTGGTAATCCCTCAACGAACAGGTTGACCACGTCACTTTTCCGGGGCCCAATGAGGAACTCATGATGTGCTTCGACGGGCAGTAGGGCTCATCGTGGCGCATTCCCAAACTGAAATAGGTAGTTTAAGCGGTCCTGCGTCGTATTTTCTGTCCCTTGCCAGGTAGGTTATGAGTAGCTTAATGCATGTATTCAAGCTAAATTAAGATATGCTCTCCTCTACCTGTGGCCAAGCTCGTGGGTTCCGATGAAAGCCGAGGTGAAGTCGAGGCCTTCAGCGAGGGTACAGGTATTCCAAGGGTCACACATGCCATCCAAGCGGGCAATTCCGGAAATGGATCGCGAACCGGCTCCACGATGGATGTCGTAACTAAACAAGCCAATATATACCTTTATCGAGGGTTTTAGCATCTTTAAGCCCTAACTGAATCATACTTTTCATCGAAAAATCCCGCGTTAGCCACATTTTATTGTTCGCACAATCTAGTTCCCTGTAATTTACAACTCTTTACCATCCCCCTAATCCGCACCCCATAACCGTAATTTCCGCCGTTCCCTGCCAATATCCCCAATTCATCTCGTTTAGCTCCCCAATTTCTAGTGAGGAGCCCAAGAAATCGTCGAAGATCAGTGCGGCCATTAATCAGCCTTCCGGGGACGGTCCCATTGATTGTCTGGCGCCTTTTACCCCCCACAATCCCGGGGCACATTTTAGAAAAATACGCCGCGCGCGCATGGACCCCTGAAATTAACAAGGTCATCACAGCTCCCAGAACCCCCGGCGGCCTGGCTTCGGCACAGACAAAAACGTGTCTATAGGAGCGATACGTCGTCGCCTTCCCCCCTAGACTTGACCGTTGGCCGAACATAAACCGTTTATCTCGCGATTGAGATCTGGGTGTTTTTTTTTCGAGAGCGCACTGTCTGGGTCTGGGGTACTCGAGTGAACGCGGAAAGGGGCTGTCATGGGTGATTTTCAGCCCGGAACATGACGAGGGTTCGAAAGGGGGGGGATGATTGATGGGTAGTTTTTATCAATTTTTGTGAAATCGAATAAAGCTAATATATGCCTAGAGCTAGACCTAGATTAATCTTAAACCTAGATATCTGCTTACGCTTCCGGATAACTCACCCAGTCAACAAAATAGCGTGATCCCAGTCCCTGAAGCCACGGTCCCTCTGATACTTGCAGAATAGGTCCAAATAACGTTGAGCGTGGCCGTATTGATGAAGATTTGGGGCCAGGGAACGCTAAAATTCAACGTAAAAAATACTAGATACTTTGTGTTACCGGTTGACTCGTCAAAACCTCGTAGCGGATGACTTTGAACGTCAATGGGGGAGAAGCGGTCGGCTGATAGTACATTATCTAAATTTCATTAATATTTTAACCCGGTACGAGCGAGATAAAGAAAGCGAGAGATAGCGAGAGGAGGGAGAGATAGAGAGAGAGAGAGATAGAGAGAGAGTGAGATCGTGGGAAACAAAAAAAATCGAGCTATTCGCAAACCTGAATATTATTCAACAGCGTCAGCGAATAATCTTGTAGCTTGGAGTTTGCCGCACCACCGTATTTACTCGAAAAATGGCGCCAAAGTGTTTCATCGACAAAGACGGCCAATTCCACCTAAAGTCTGGTAACTTTCCATGTATGAGAACCGACGATGAGGTCAGATTCCTGGACTAGCTGCTGGCCAGTGACGAAGACGTCTTCAAAAATGGCTGTCTCATCTTCGTAGAGATCTTCTTCAGTGACGACGTTGTCAATTCCGCAGAATTCATTTTCCTCGGCTTTAGGGGCGATCGCGTCGCGTTTGTAGACGATGTGGACGCCGAGGGCTAAGAGAGAGTTTGAGTTTGCAGCGTAAACTCTAGCTACCACAGTCCCTTTAATGTTACTACGCCAAAGTTTGTATTCACCGAATTCCATTAAAAATTCACCATTAGCCTCCCGCTTGCTGCGATGGGCATGCCTTTCCGGAAACGGGTGGATAACGTGGATCCCATTCTCATCGATGATTGTCCCTTTCTATAAAATTTTAGCGTTGTGTGTTTTAGTTCGTGAGTTCATAGATCCCCAGCGGAATTTCTTCAAAGCGCGAGGTCATTGCGAGTCTCGAAGTGGTTAAAACCTTAAGCCGTGTCGACCTCGAACCCGACGGGGACGGTTCTTCCCCCTCCCTCCGCCCCGGTTAATGGCCCCGGGGTTCTCAGGTTTTTCCGAAGGGGATTTAGACTGCGGCAAACCGATTTTTTGGGTGTTTGACTTGTAGGTTAATTTATTGAACGTTAAAAAAACCTTTCGGCAAATAGCTTTCACAAAATCTGGATTTGTTTTTCCGAACATTTTACCAATGGAAACCTACGATCTGGCCTCCACAATTCGAGATGGCGGCGATTGTGCCATTTCCGAGATGTCGGTAGTGACAGTGGTTGACTTCTTGGTTGAATTGAAGTTGACCGCCTGGAGATGTTAGCTTTTGCTTATGCTTATGCTTAGGTCAAGACTCACCTTTCCGGTCATCTTTAACCACCGCGGTCACGAAGTCGGCCAACAACTTTGAGGTGGCCGGCTCGAGCGTGATGTTGTGCCACTTTCCAAAAAGTTGCACTCGTATCCGATTTAGTTCTCCGTCTTCTGAGTATTCGAGTTCGGGGAAGACTTCCTCGTGTGTGGGAACTAAACAGGAATGCAAAAATACGGAATTCGATACCTTTCGCCTGTTCCGTCACCCCAAACGTATACCGCAGCTCGTCGGGGGAGAAAAAGTGTGTGATCGAGGCTGCGCACTAAAAATCAGAATTTTTAATGTTGTTTTTTAGTCGTTTTGGTTTTATAGACGTTAATGGACCAGCAGAAAAAAATTTCCGAGTTGATTTAATGCGCTACGCCACCTTCCAGACCACCCAGAGCAGTTTTTCTACCGCGAATTTCCAAGCTGTCTCTTTTCCGGTTGGACTTTATAATTAAATCAATCCCCCCAATGTCATTTCCTCAGAAAAAGTGCGGTTGAACCCAATTAGCCCGATCCGTCACCCCCCTCCATTTCTCCTCTCCTCAAAAAGCACGTGTTCCCCCGGCCCACGACAGAGCTACTAGGAAGTGGGGCTCGGTGGACCAAATTTGCGTCGATTTCAGGGCGCCAATGATGGAGATAGAGGAGAGAGATAGCTAGAGAGAGAGATACAGCCGGACGGACCCACAGACGCAGACGCCACGCGCGATGGTACTTGACTGCACGCACCCAAAAAAGGATAATAACTTCCGAGTCTCGGGCGCGGGATGAGAGTACAAAAAGCGACATAAGCGACGTGTGAATATCTCAATTTAACGCTGGGGAGTGTTTCTCGTTTTTGAGGATGGTCATTTTAAAGGGATTGAGAGGTCTAGGCGCCTTGGAGATCGTCAAAACTTGCTTGAAGCTTAGGGCAACTTTAGCAATTCCGAAATCAAACAAATTTTTAGGCATCATTACTGCGTATCCACGTGTTTAAGGGATATTATCGTATTTATATGCGATACCTCACTCCAAAGAATAGGGGACCGAAAAGCCTAAAAACGATTAACGAAAAACATCCTAGGTGTCAGTGAATAGCGCCGTTAATGGTCTTCAGCCACCACCTAACTAAAATCTTGTCCCAATGAACAATTACGCCTGTTTTTTCGTATTTCCGGAGTATCCATGATCCGATTTTCAAGTACCCCATCTCCTTTCCAAACCTTCGAACGTTTGGGGATAAGTTCGTCCGCATCCCGGGCGACGTCGACAAGACGTGCCATCCTTTTTCCATTTTCTCGACCTCGGGGACCCCACCAACCCCCGAGCGTGCGGGAACACAGATTTTTAGAGCCAATTTCGCCCCGTGGCGGCGCCCCGGGATGTGGATTTAGGTGATGACCCTTTCCCCGCACGGAAGGCGGCCTGCAACGAAATCGGAAAAAACGGAGTGTGTCTATGGGTTTCCGGCGGAAAATCGGGATCCCCGCCGGGGGTTGGTTGTGTGTATTTGACGGGGCGAATGATGGAAACTTGCAGCTTGGCGGCGGAAGGGTGATGGATCAGGGATGATGAGGGATATCGTTCACAGTCAAAATCAAGGCATGGGAAAACGCGAAAATTAATGAGGCGGAATGCGATGTACACCTTAAGTTGCTCTAACAGCATAGGCTTGAGCTTAGGCGTGAATCTAGGCTTAGTCATAAGCTTAGTTTTAGGCTTCGGCTTAGGCTTAGGCTTAAGCTCTTAAGGCTTCTAGGAATGGCTTGGACTTAGTTCTCAACAATACCTCATTCTTATAAATGTTGAATTGATTAAGTCTTTTTAAGCCCAAACTTCAACATCCAAGCACAACCCCCATACTGCCCGGCCATAAAATCCGAAGTAGAAATTGAACGACCGGAACCTCCTCGCGTCCCTCCGCAGCACAGACTGTAGACCGTTCTAATGGATTCGAGCGTAGCGCGATCTCGCCGAAAAACCGTGAGAACATCGCGCCGCGCGCTGCGCTCTGTCAATTAACGACCCATTTAGACGCCGGGATGACACCCATTTCAACAGGACATCCTCCCAGAAGTCCTTTTTAGCCTCTTTTCAGGAACTTGGAACGTCAGTCCTGCAACTTTACGAGTTCGAAGTGTCGGATTTTGCGTTGCTGGACTTCCAAAAAGGTTATTTTGAGTTTTGGGCCACCTTGAACTGGATGTGGAAGGGCTATAAAAGTGTACTAACGGTGTGGTGTAGTCAAAATTCACAGTTCAAGGGATATAGCAAGCTAAATTGAGGTTTCCGCTCGGAAATTCGATTTTTATGCTCTGCGCTATAGTTTTTTTTTGGGGGGGGGGGATCGAGGAAGTGGTTTAGTGGTTTTCTGGTTTAGGAAACTTTTTTTGGAGAAATACCTGGGCGCCACGATTTTGCAACTGTCAATTGCTAATCAGAATATGGGCAGATATTTAGGATGGATTTCAATTCGAGCTTAGGCTTAGACTCCGGCCTGGGCTTACGCACGTCTAAAGCACATCTAAAAACCTATTTCTGCCTAAACTCTGATTTAGGGTCACGAAACCGGATGTCCTTGAAAGTTCAGCGAACGTTTTTTTCTGTTAGTTCGCTTGTTCTTGAATTTTGGACGAAAAAAAATTGCAAGGTTTTTCCAAATTCCGGTAACTTGATTAAAATATATTTTCCTAAGCTCTGCCTATATCTAACCTCGCAATTCTTTACCCCAAAAAACATCTACCCCCGATCAACATCATCCGCCACTTTTAGAATTGGGTGACAAACATCCCCGGCCGATCCAAGGCGCTGTTCTATTTGCATTGAGGGGCTGGTTTTTTTTGTCGACAATTGGCATGACCCGATATAGGACCAGTTCATGGACGTCCACAAAACGCATGTTTATTATGCAAATATGACGGATGTCAAAGGGCCGAATGTTTTTGGGTTGAACGTCTAGGAGTATCACCGCGAGAAAAAAACGGTTTTGGCGATTTGTCGAAAATAAGGTTGACTATTATTTCAGGCGGATTCCAGGTTGTATGGGATGTTTCAAAGCATCTCCATGAGGAACAGAGAATAGGGGATTACGAAGGAATTACGCTATCAAAAGCCGCTAAACAAGTGCGGATTTCCCGGACCGGCAATAAATTTTTGACGAAAAGTTCCATAACTACTCCATGTTCCTCTCTTTAAAGCCTTAGATACCCACTCGGTATTCCACCCGCACTTTTTGATTCAAAAGCCCCGCTCAGAAAGTCAACCCCAAGACCAGTTTGCCGCTAAAATCCTCCTATATGGGCTGTTGACCTTAGGGGGTGGAACGGCTGCACCTTGGCGTTTCAGTCGCCGGATTTGTAAGCGGTGCTCTCTAGAAAGTACAAAGAAACAAGTATACAAACATTTTTCCCGCTTTTTTAGCTACCTATTTTTTAGCTAGGATACTGCCCTGACCCGAGTTGACCAGTGGACACATTGCCCGGACCCTGCCAAGCAGCCGCCCCACTTGAGGAATGGCTAAATATGGGGGGATGGATGGGAAGTAGAAGGAGCACACTTCAAATGGCGTCAGATTATTTTGTGGTGCAATGGGCGGTAGTTGAATCAAATCTGGGCTGGATCGTGATGACAAATCGAATCAGGTTTAAATATACCTAGGTTTTTCGATATGGGCTTGATCGAGATGGGCGATATGGATCTTTCGATACACTACGCGACACGCAACGCATAGCATTCTTTCCATTGCGTAATTAAGGGCGACTTGGCTACCTTGGAGAAGCGCTTGCGTTGCGTGTCGCGCGTCAGGCCAATTCTATGGAGTTTGGTTTCATTTGCGTGATGGATTAGAACCCATCACGTGGGTTAGCGAGTGCTGCGTTGCTTGTCGTGGGTACGGCAAACCGCAAAATCTAAGGTCACACGATGCCCATCCCTTTTAAGATCAACGCCATCCCGTAACGATAAAATAATCAATGTTCCACCTTTTTCACTGCATTTCCCAACCCCAACCCGCCGAGATTTTCGATCTTTTTGATAACCCGCACCCCAAAACGGGCATCAAGAATAGCAGCAGGCCCAGGTCCGCGCGGGCGCGCTGCATCCCCTGCGAAAAAGGGTGTGCCATTCAAAAGTGGCTCTTTGCTGTGTGTTTGGCGGTGATTGATACCTAGTCTGACCCGGAGAAGCGGACGCGGGAAAACCAGGAAAACCTAGCAGAGGAGGAGCGGGGAGAAAAGCGCGAAATTTCCGTTCGCATTGGCAAGTGGGAATTTTTGAATGAATCATAAGAATTTGAGGAGTTTTGTGAGGAATTCCAAGGTCAAAAATTCGGGTTTAAAGGGATTGTGTTATCAAAAAGTTATTTTACAATCGATTACGACACTTTTTCACTAAAAATACCTCCGAAAAACCTACAGAAACCGTTATTTTGTATATCCCCAGCGCCTAGTCACGCGCGCAAACAGTTCGTATCTGTAGCCCGACACGCTGGCGACATTTTTTCACCCACCACATCGCCCCAGGGAACGCCAAGCAACAATGGCCGGCCGCACACACAAAAAAAGAAGATATAGTGCCGATTCTCGGCGCGTTTATGGCCATAGTTTGATGCCGGAGTTCGAGCAAAGTGATCGGTGTGTAAAAAGATGAAATTTGGGTGGTCGAGGGATGGGGAAGCTAACTGGTAACTGGATCGAAATTATTTTATGGTTGGCAATGTGCCAGGTTGTGAAGATGAGATTGATTAGAAGGCCCAATCTGGTTAAAAGTTGAGCTCAGGTTTGGGCTGGGCTTGGCTTAGCCGTAGGATTAAGCTTAGGCCTCGACTTAGACGTATGCGTAGACTTAGGCTTACGCATCAGGATCTCACACAAATCTTGGTTTTAGAGCTTTAACAACTTCTATCCCTATAGACGCCCACTTATTATGTTTTCCCAGATCAACTACAAATATCCAATTAGCCACCCAGTTTCTTCCGCCCATGTTTTCCGACAAAAATCAGGGACAACCGGAGCTCGGGGTTCGAGCCGCGGGGTCCTGCTCCTCCAGCCTTCCAGCCCTCTATGGGGCGATTTCTCTCGCGGTTTTTGTGTCAGTGTCTTTTCGTTCGTCAGCTAGCCATTGCCCCTTCCCTCTTGTGTGTGTGTGTGTGTCTGTATTGTGGATAGGTTTGGATGGGGGAAACATAGGGGGGAAAAGGAAGGCAAGGGGACACAGGATCAGACCAAGGGGGGCAATGGGGCCTGACCAAGTCAAGCCTGTCCTTTTTTGGCAGGAGATTCCGGATGGATGATGGGTATTTGCTTTGAATGAGAAGGGATGCGATGCTCGGACATCGTTCAGGGAAGGAGTTTTGGTGTTTTAAAGGAACTGGGAAAGGAGAATACCCGCAAGTTCTGATGCTGGTTCTTACCGATAGGGACAGGCTTGGTTAGCTTAGGCCTCGGCTTAGGCTTAGGCTTAGCCTAGCATATCCCCACCGTACCAATCCCATAACTCACACCCCCGAATTCTAAAGCTCTCTAGATAAATCTAGAGCTCTAAATCAAGTCCTCAATACCCCCCAGGCGCGACAGTCCCTCCATCCATTCAAAAGCCCATGCCGGGACTGAAGTTCGACGAAAAAAAGGAAAAAAACCGCCGGACAAGTTGACCTTGGCTTAGAGAGTCCAGGTGGACCGTCCTTGTTCCCCATCGGGGCGGGTTGCTAATCCCGGGCCCAGACCCATCGAACTCATGCTCGTTTTTTAGAGATGCCAAAAAATAGGGAAGCGTGGGCGGGTTTTTTAGAAAAACGGAAAGTGCAATAAAAGGTTGTAGAGGCAAAGTCCTTATGTTCTAAGCAAAATTCCTGGAGTGTAGTTTGATCTCAATGATCTCAGCTTTTCAAAACTCCTGGAGCATCGTTTTTAAAGAATTATTCGACTCAAGGAGGAAAAGAATCATTTTTGGAAAATTCCTAAATAATCTACTCAATCCCAGTGATTCACAAGAGTCAGGTCAGCAGCACCAGATGGGGAAAACGCGTTAACGCGACCGACCGTAATTTGAATTGGGCCAGAAAAAGGAGAGACAATGCTCCAGCAGCCCTACAAGACACATACAGACGAAGAAAGAAACAACTTTAGGTGTAAGAGGAGACGGAATCCCGGAATGGGTTCATCACCCACAGGACAAAGCTAGACGACGAGTGGAGTAGGGTCAACTAAGTAGCAAGAGCGAGGACACAAGATGCATATATTGGGAAGTAGTTGAAATATATCGGTATATAGAATTAAATACATAA